GGTATTTGCTCAAAAAATTAAGTTTGTTTAATGATAAGATTACTCATATGTATTTGTTTTTGTTTGGTTGGTAAGGTACATTCATTAGGTGCATAACATTATCCCAAAAACTTAATCTAGAAATACAATTATAAATAAAAAAAAACTATTATTAGGACCATTCATACATACGTGTTTGAGTAAACAATAGCGTAAAAATAAAACGTGTGGTTAGGTATAGGTACATAATTTGATAAAATAAAAAGGACTGGATAGGCCAAATATATAATAATTTATTAATTAATTAGAATTCATCGGGGCATACTTTTCGTAATGCATTACTAGTGCACATCTCTATTACTCTTAAGAAAAAGTTAACGGTTAAAGTCGATTCCTTCCAATACTCTTAAAAAAACTATTAGTCAATTGTAAGCATTAATATTACAAAAGTAATAGTTAATGAAAACTTTTTACCTGACTTACTTACAGCCAAAGTAATGGTTAATAGAAATCCTTTAAATTACTCATTAGAAAAGTAATAGTTAATGTCAACTTTTTACATTACTCATTAAAAACGTTATGGTTATTAGAAACCTTTTAGATTATTCTTTACGAAAGTTATGGAAGCTTTTGAAGTGAAACTTCTTTACGCACGGTACGGTAAGTTCGTTTCATGCGAGTTGCTATGTAACGAAATCATGCAACGCATTTCCCCCGCTGTCTGTCTCTATGTATGCTTAGATCTTTAAAACTACGCAACGGATTTTAATGCGGTTTTTTTTAATAGATAGAGTAATTCAAGAGGAAGGTTTGTATGTATAATACATGCATAATATAGTAGAGAAACGCTGATAATTTTAGTGGTTTGTAATATGATGTCGTAAATAAACACATTTTTTTGCGTTTACATTGCAAACGCTGGCTGAACCCTACGAGTTAGATCAAAATAATATACCTACTACAGTGTACAGTATTGTACACCTTAAATGTATGTGTAAATGTCTAACTCTTAGGGATAACCTACAATAACCATTTTTTGTCTTTCACTTTTTATGAGAAATAATGGAAAAAAAACTGTGATTGATGTATATTAAGACATTCTATAGTATATTTATTATCAGCATTGCACCCGTGCGAAGCATAGTGTACAAATAATACCATTAAACCAATTCCTTAACCCCTATATGTATGTTTGAAGAAGTTTCACTTCGGTAGTGTGTTGTATAATTATACGTTGTATTTTTTTTAGATTATTCGTTACAAAAGTAATAGTTAATGGAAACGTTATACGTTTCTTATTACCGAAGTAATGGTTAATGAAAACTTTATGCATTATTGCGATTACAAAGATTATGTAAACTTTTTAGATTGCTTGCTACAAAACTAATGCTTAGTGGAAACCTTTTACATTACCTATTACGAAAGTAATGGTTAATGGAAACTCTTTACATTATTCATTATAAGAGTAATGATTAAAGGAAAATATTTTCATTGATGATTACAAAGACAATGGTTAATATTAATTTTTTACATAAACCATTAAATTTGTAATTCCTCATTGCAGAGGTACATAGATAATGTGGATAATTTACATTGATAATTTTATTGTTGTTATTATGGAAAGAAAAAAACCGTATCGTCCGTTACACCTCGACAATTTACCATTGCCTTCTCAAAAACTTGTATGTTACTAATAAGAATTATAAAAAATAGTTACATATGTATACAATAAAACTGATTAGATATAGATCATATAAAAACAGCAACAAATGAAATAGAAATAATTTATTGCATTTTCTATGTTTGTGAAAAAAGATTTGATAGATTTTTGTAACAGTTGTGTTTATTTATGCATAATGCAAAATCACAATTTAAGAAGAAAAACTTTAAAACAACACCGTTGATTACAAAATTACCTTCATTACTTACTGAGAACTTTTCGACTAACAACCGCATTTTTACACTAGACTATAAAATCAACATTCTAAAAGTTGTTAATTATAAACAGACCGAAACAAAGGCAAGAGTTTTGGTTAATTTTGTGATTATTTACGATTTTAAATGAATGGAAATCCTTGACTACTTAATCACACTCGTTACGTTCATAGTCCAACCGCAGTTCTAAGAATTGCATTCTATTTACAATGGATTTTTTAATACACAATATGTACGACGATATGCATAATAGACTATCAAGTAGGCGCTAATAATCGCCAGCAAAATAATTGTCTCTGTATTATCCTGCTTGCTGTCTAATAAGATTCATCATTGCACGAAAAAAGAGATAGTCACTGTATGACTATCAATAATAGTTCGTTGTAGAAATATAAATAATTGGGAAAATCATACATAGGTACTTACTTACCTTATATTACTTTAGTTAATAAAGAGATTCATTACTTTATATCATTTTTATACACCTATTTTCAATCTTGAAATTAATTGTTCTACTGTTTATCAACAAAAAAAAATTGAGGTAAAGGTCTAGATTACCCCCCGAATGGGGTGGGGGCAGGGGGCATTGAAAGAGGAGGTCTCCCCCACCACTGTATCATAAAAACTTTACGGCGGTCTCACCCCCATGAAAAGTCATGGGAGCTCACAGTTTATTATTTTGTTGATTTTCATGTTTGTGGGGATAATCTAGACCTTTACCAAAATTGACAATTTAAATTAAATTAGCTTATCCTAAAGTAGCCCAACCTAGCCTAAAAATGGCCTATTCTTGAAAAAATTATATTTGTTGATAATTAATTTGTCGAAGCAGCACAATAAAGTACAATACTAACACAATTCAGAACAAATTCTTCTTTTTTTCAAAATTGGAAGGCTGCGTTACACTTTTGCGACAGAACTTAGTTGCGTGAAATTATTGATAAAACTGATTAAATGTGACATTTTCGACCTTACACAAATACGGCATTTTTAAACAATTTAGTATTATAGATAATATACACATGTTATCGATAACTGATGATTTACTAAACTATTTTTACAATACACCTCGCCATCTCTACGTTATTTGAATACCCTTGACCTTTTTTCGATTCATTTCAATGGCGTATTTCTGAGTTTACCCTAGGGCCATCCACGGAGGTCATGGCCCGGGGTGGCAGGCTCGCAAGCTCCAAGGGACGGCCCAACCCTTCACAACCGTTACCGTATTTTTTATCTTAAAATATAATAAGCCTACCTAATTAACAACAAATACAAAAACGTAATACGCGAACCGATCGTACTGTGGTCCGGTGTGTCCGTTAGACAAAGCCTTAGTACTTACAAGTATTAATAAGAATGTATATTAAGTTCTTGGTCAGAAAATCGAAACCATCAAACGCGAATCGCGATTCCGATCTTATTGGATCTCATCAGCACGTCAGGAGCAGTCGCGATAAATTACTGCTTAAACCGACGAAGTTCCTAAAGAACGACTATAATAATATGAAGACTGCCCACGGAGAGCTCATGAGACCTAATAAAATCGAAATTTGGTTCCGATAAATTTCTGACTAAGAATTTAATTTTTATCTTTATTAATTCATGGACCGGTAAACTTTATAGACACAGGGTGTCAAAACTTAAAATACGCCACTGACTAGTTTGAACAAAAGGAAGCATTTATTGATTAAAAATTAAAGACAACACCTACAAATTTCACAAAAATCAAACAACACAGAAATCAAACAACCCGAGAGTTATTGATTTCGTCTAGCGACATACGTTAATAAGTTATTGACACATTATGCATTATAATAATGTATAAAAATGTTTTTTAGCATTTGTTGGTTTAGGTACTTGTATTATTTTATTTTTTAATGGTTTCTATTTTAATTAAAATAAAAAAATCTGTATATTGTTAAAACATTTAAGAACTCACGATAATACATACATACTGGAGTAACGTTACCATAAAATTAATTTAAACTGATCACTGAAACAATTTTTCACTGGAAAAACTTCGCAAAAGCATACAAAAATGATAATTGCTCATCATTCTAAGAATTAAAAATCAACCACGATAAATTATCGAATTAGGCAGATCGATCAAAAAATATAGTAAATACTTAAAAAGAATCATAAGATTTAAAATGTATTAGTTGTATACAGTCTAGACATAAATATTTTACCAAACCGGAAAATCACTTTATTTACGCAGTTATTTACAGAAAATGGTTAAGTATACATTTATTAATTAATCTATATAATCACGCTATCTAAAAAACATTTTGTGTTAAAAGTTTTAATATATTTGGAACCGATTTTTTTAAAAAACTACTTGAAATGATAAAAAAAGAACGTATAGCTGGATGCACATTAGATGTATAAAACTCAGAGTAAATTAGATATTATCTCAGAAATTTGTTTTGCGTTGTTAAAACCAAATTTTCACTTAAACAATCGTATAAAAAAATTGCACCTTGCATAGTGTAAAACTAATTTCCAAGAACAATAATGAATTATTGTTATATATATATAACTTTAGACTTAAGTAAGAACTATAAACTTATTTTTAATAAGGAAGAACCACATTTATTACATACAAAACATTATTTATAAAACATGTACGAAGCCTTTAGTATTTTTTTTTCTTTTTTTTTGTTAATTGTCTTATTTTGCAATTGAATAGAAAACCGTACGAACCGGTTAACCACATGATAAAAGTTATTTATTTATAGACTGTCCTCATTGTTCTAACATGTGTTTTAAGTTGTTCAGATTAGTTTTCTTTGCTAATGATATATCCTTAGTGAAATGAACAAATCGATTGCTTGCTTACTTACCGGAGAACCCGCGCGTACTTGACCCGGCACCACTTCACAACTTGCGACACACTACCGCGGTTGCGACGCAACTAAATGATCATTAAATGATGTAAAACTAAAAACCGAAATGCGCCGATACGAGTTACTGATAAAAAATAGAATCAAAAAATCTTGCGCAAACGTACTATGTATTTCGACAGGCACAGTAGTAGCTAATATCTCATCGCAAGTCATAGGAATGCGGTTAATTATGAACAGATAATTTCTAATTAAATTATTAATTTGGAATCGCCTAAAGAATTTCAATTCTTTTATACATGTTGCTTTAAAGTTTGTTAATGTATGATGTGTTGCCTATCTTGTTCTAACATCTAAAATATTTTATTAAAAGCATCACATACATCTAACTTATTCTGAATAAATTTTAAGCAATTGTATATCATTTTGTAAATTTAGCTTACTAACATAATTTAAAAACTATCAGATATTGCTAAATTTTGTTAAATAGTTGAAAGGTGTCTACAGACTTAATTTAAAAAGACTGAACTGTCGATTCAATACTAAAAACTAATTTATAAATTATATGGTAAACTTATAATGCATTTTTCGAAAAATAAAATCAGTTACAGATTATCATTCATTTTGCAACATTTAACATTTTTGTTTCCAGAAGCGACATATACCGTAGACACTACTAAAAATACAAGTAAGCAGTGGAACAAGAAGAAAAAATATGTTTTTAAGTAGCTTTAAGGTTATAATTTTAAAAAAGTAAAAAGAAACCGGTAAACAAATATTAATTCCAATATTCAGTTACTCAGTTATTTGCAGCAACTAATAGTAGAGATTAATTTACAATTCAAATCTGTAATGAAGAAAGTGGGCTACATTTTCGATGAACACTTGTTACTTACGTGCAACCGTTTACCTGTTATACGAGAGAGGGTAAATAAAAGTAAGTACTATTTTGCAGTAGTTTATTAAATATTTTCTCATTACTAGGCATCTGTAGTTCAAGATTTAATTGATTCATATGAGTTACTTTTTTGCGAAAACATTACTGCATATTCAAGTGTAAAAGCTACAGAAGAAGAATTGAAAGAATTTCATTCATCAGCATATATTGAATTTTTGAAGAACAGCAATGATAAAGAAGATTTAGAGTTACTGGAAGAAGAAGCCGGTGAATTTGGTTTAACATATGACTGTCACTTGTTGGAGAAAAATTATGAATTTGTGCAGGTTATTGCTGGAGGCAGCTTAACTGCTGCTAATCTGCTAATTAAAGAATGTTGTGATATTGCAATAAATTGGTTTGGTGGTTGGCATCACTCTCAGAGGTATTGTTTATAAATGCTTTACTTATGTACATAAATAATTGTATTAATTTGTATACATTAATAGGGATGCCGCTGAAGGTTTCTGCTATGTAAATGATGTTGTACTTGCCATACAAAGACTATACAAGAAGTATAATAGAATTTTGTATATTGATTTGGATGTACATCATGGTAAGTGAATTACATTTTTTTTGTTTTAAAATAGGAAATAGGATTATTAAAAGCAAAATAAATTAATAAAATATGATTTTTCTTAGTTTATTAGAATTGTATTTTTTATTCATTTTGAAAATAAACACATTTTATAATTATGTAGTAAAAGTAAAAGTTAAAAAACATGAACTGGTGTAAAATGTTTTGCTTTTTATTAATATCAATTCAATAATCTAACTCAGTGTTTTTTAAAATGTATTGATAAAAAATAATGTAGAATAATAAAAATATTTACTTTGAAAATGAAGTAATTAAAGAAATTGTGCAATCTCGGCGAACATCAATTAATATTGGGTAGTTATAGTAAGTTTAACTTTTGGAAACAAATAGAAATATTTTTAGCCAGGAGAAATTCATCGTACCTGGTTATTGTCTTTAAATATGATAATAAAAGATATTTTTTCTTAATAGGAAACGGTGTACAGAATGCATTTGAATTTAGTAAAAAAATTTTAACATTGTCTTTTCATAAATGGGCACCTGGCTTTTATCCTGGATCAGGCAATGTAGAAGATAGTGGTAGTGGGAGGGGAAAATATTATTCTGTTAATGTTCCAATCTGTGAAGGAACAAATGATGTAACATATTACAGGCTATTTAACGAGATTTTTCCAAGGTAATCTAATATATTATATCACTACAAAAATTAGTGTATTTTCCATTTCAAAATATTAATTAGAATTTTACAGAGATTCCAGCCCCTGGCAGTTGTGGTTCAATGTGGAGCTGATGTAATAAATGGTGATCCTATAGGACAATGCAATTTAACTCCAAAAGGAATGGAAAGGTGCATCAAGGATGTTCTAAAATGTGATTTGCCTACTCTTTTTCTTGGAGGAGGTATGTACAATTTTAAATTTTGTCTTAATCTACTTAGTCGCTTTATTGACTATTCCTTTTGTGTATAGGTGGTTACAATTTTGAGAATACAGCAAGATACTGGTGTTACTTAACTTCTGTGATAGTGAACGTACCTTTAGAGAATGATATCCCAAGTGTATCAGAGGTAAGTTTAATATCATGATTATAGATTTTTCTTAATTTAATATACCTCCTTTTAGTATTTTACAAATTATGGTCCTTCTTATGAAATTGATATAAGTCCAGGTAACAGAAAAGATCATAATACTGAAGAACATATTAATAATGTTCTTTCAATAATTTTAGAAAATATTAATGCTATCGACATAGAGTAAACAATAATAATATAATACTTTATTAAAAATGTTAGGCATTGTTTGAGGACATTATAAAGTTTTCTTTGCAAACATTTTTGAAACAAATTTTTAATCTATTTCATTTTGTCATTGTATTTATCTTTACAAATAAAATACCTACATATTCTGAAACTTCACATATAAAAACACTTTTAACATGGTAGATACACATCAAATTACTTACAATATCATATGTGCCAATTGTGTTGTGTTTCTTACATCTTAACTAATAATCCAATCTTTAAAAAATAATCGGAAATCTTATACAAAATTACATTTTATTTAAATATTTATAATAATTGCATACATCGTTATTATTAATGTTTATGTGTGAAAAATTTATAGGTATGCATGTTACTTCTCTGACATAAAACCATCGACTAGAGTATGGTTACTAAGTATAAAGGCCTTAAAATTACTTCTTCCAGGTTAACATTAGTCGCGGTGTTTATTTTTACATAATAATCGGTTAGTTTTTGCTAATTTTTTACTTCCTTTTAAGTGTAATATAAATGAACTTTAAGCTTCTACTGATAATATTTTTGTTATGATACAAAAACAGGATGATGATTAAATGCAACATTATATAATATTTATCACCCTAGTTTTTCGGTATAGCATTGTCTAATATGTCGTAGTAGTAATTGCAAAAAACGCTACTGTTGTGCGAAATTATTTTCAAAAATTGACCTGCGACGGTTGTCAGTTCTTTTTGCAACGTAGTTAGACCAGAAGGCACTTTTTGTGGCGCTGCTGTCGAAGACTGGATTATTTGTAAGAGAAACTCTCTTATCCTTTGCCCTAAACATTTCAATGAAGATTAAATGCAGAACGTCATTGGGAGTCTTTAAGCTAAATTAATGGCACTCGACTGCTCACTTTGCAGAATTTAAGATACAATTTTTATGAAATCAAATAAAAATTATGCGCTTTATTTAACCATTTACTTTTTTGAATAATTGTGCATAGATTTAAATATATATATCATATCATTTATACTTACGAACAAGTTGTCGTATTCTATGTTCAGGGTTAGTCAAGTCCACTATCTGATTGGTTAGCAATTCTTCAACTTCTTTTGTGATTTGCGGCAGTCCATGTTTCTCCTGCGCCTGTTTCACATCTTTAATTATTTGAATAGCTATGTTCGGTAGGGTATTTTTCAAATCTCTAAAACACATTTAATATTGTACTTCTTTGTGGGAGGTATATATATTTTCTTTTACTCTGCGTTACGTACTTTTCAGAAGTAACAGTTTGCAGTAAAATAAGGGAATGCTCTTTGATCGTTTCCTTGAATGACATAATAAACTGCAGATCTGGGCCCACATAGCTACCTGTTATCAGTAGAATAGAGCCGGCTATTATTAATCGGTTCGTTTGCAACTCGATATTTGACAACCTTTCTTCATCTAACATGAACGTCTACCGATATAAAATATAAATGTGTTAGTTAATTTATAACGTTACATGTATAAAACTAGGACTGTTCATTTGCTTGATATGCTTTTATTAAATTTTATTTAAAAGCTTGTTGATAATTGCAATTTTTATTGATGAGTCTCAAAAAAATTGGAAGCAATCTTTAAATATTATTGTGTTAATATTTGCATGGGCTACTTAAAACGTTATTAAAGATCTTCAAAAATTTTTATTCTCTCTGTTTATCTATCTCAATTTTTAGCGACTGCAAAGTTAATTTTAATAATAAATAAAATAAGTTGCTATTACTTTTAATTCAGTTTATAAAATATCTAGAAATTTTGTACCTCTGGGTATGGATTTTGTGCGTTCCACTCCAACAGATCCAAACAAGCTTCTGAGAACGTTTTCTTGGTTAAATGTTTGATATAACTGTTTCGATCGACATTAGAAGGTACTGCTTCGATAGTACTCACGTGCCTTAGCAACCAATTACGAGTATGTTGCAAACCATCTAAAAAATATTTAAATTAAATTAGGGAGGAATAACGACAACAAAGCCTCGGCATTTAAATTTATTTTTTTATAAGAACCATTTTTTGTAAAATGCGTATAAACCCTGTATGTTATATATTGACGTATATAATTACCCGGTTGCACAGCTAAATAATCAGCAAACTTCTTCCTTTCAAGCTCAACACTGTGAGCTATAATGTCAGGTCTGACCATGTCAATAGTGAAATTTGCCATATCCAAAGCCATCAAATCCAAAGTCTGAAAAGAATAAAATTTAAATGTTCTTTTTACATTTTTTCTCAATTACTTCTAAAATTCCTTTGAATGTGTCAATAACATCAGTCATTTCGGTGAGTTGCTTAATTTTTTCGTCCCTAACTGGAGCACACAACCGTGACATGACTGAAATGACGTATTGAGCGTAATGCTAAAGAATAAAATAAAAATATGAATTTATTCAAATTAAATATTTATTTATTGAGACAGACACGAAAATCTAAGGTTCCCTTTTCAGCTTGTTGTCGAATCAGATCGTTATCCAAAACTTCTGATATTTGTTGTTTCAATTTACTATGTTGTGGTAGAAGTACACGAAAAAGACCCTCTTTTATGTCTTCTAGTAATCGTAAGGCCTAAAAAATAAAAGTAGAATATGATAGGCTAATTGAACAGATTTTTGTTATTACTTGGGTGTAACTGGGAGGATTTTCATTGAGTTCAATCTTCAATATATCCCAAAATGCTTTGTGCATGCTTTCCTTTACAGCTTTGTGTAATGTATTTGTTGGAGGATCCACTTGTTGCAGTCGAAAATCGTTGTCCACTGCGATTTGATGTACCAAAGACATATCACGCATACCATTTGCGGCTTTCATTATTTCTTCTAAAGAAACGAATTTCGGTGGAGATGCTGCTGTTATACCACTTGAAGCCAATAACTGTTGTGATGTTGTTCTTTGTCTTTAGAGAACCGTATATTAGGTACTATTACAAAATCCTGTATGTATAATAATTTGAGAAATTTCAAAACAAATAGAATAATTCATAAAACAGTCCTAGGTAACTGGACGACAATAAAAACGCGTGAAATTAGGGATACAGATGGATATGTAAAACGTTTCGTCAATATGACTATCTCAGCAAATGTTATCAATTTAATTAATTACTGAAACGAGTTTAAAAAAATGAGATGTACAAATACTAAATGCATTACCGCGTTATAAAGCTCAAGTAAACACAACTATTAATCTGCTATTTTATACTAATTAAAAACTAGGTTAATATCTAACGTAAAAGTAATGTTAATAATAAGAAAAAAGTATATTGTTTATATATATTACCTTTTTCCTGCATTATTACCATCGTCACTAGCTGCCGAACATTCACTTTGTGTTCTTGTTCTTGAAGAAGCACCATTTTCTTGTCCATTATGATCGACGTCTTCACTATTATCAGGATTCATAATGATCACAATAAATTAGAGCACAGCTCTAACTTTTTTCAGTGTTAGAAGAGCAATTATGAACAATGAAAATGGGAACGTTTAAAATATTCGAAAATTAGGTCAGTTACTATAAAAAGCTATGCAAACACAGCGCAATTGAAACAACCTTTCAATGTGACTAAAAATACTAAAATGAGGTTGTTAATCCGAACTTCTAACTTTCGTCTGTCCTTAATGATTCCATACTAGGTAAATCAAGTGTATGTATCTATAACACCTGTTGGCAATGAAATCTTTTTCGAAAAAAAAGCAAAAAACAGCACGGAAATTTTGGTCTTTGTAACTTTCTTCAGAAATGTCAAAATCTGAAAACACTCATTAAGCGCAATAACAGCTGATTTATTATTGTTTACCAACATACACAACTGCCAACTTGGTAGAATTACAAAAATGAATTGATACTTTACAATAAAAAAGTGTCGTGATTCACTAATATGGTGTAGTCATCAGTTGTAAACGATTATCGTCTAAAGGTCAAGCACATAAAGGTAGAATGGAAGTTGAGAACAGGTTAGTTTTTTAAAACAAGTATTTTATAGTTCAAACGCAAGGTCATCGTCGTTTTTTATAGTTGGTAGTTGAATTACTGTCACTTTGACAATTTTATATTGAGTAGCATTGTTTTTGATATTGTGAAAGAAAATAAATTGCAATAAGATTAATAAATGCCTTCATCGGTGAATTTATCAAACATAACCGATGTTTCTATTGAACCCCTTGTGCAATCAATTTATATCAAACCAATGACTATGCTGTTTAAGCACAACGACAAAAACAGATTTTGGGAATTGTATGCTTCTCATGATAGTGTGGCTACAATAATTTATAACATATCCAGAGAAGTTCTGGTGTTTGTTAAACAATTTAGACCTGCTGTATACTTTAACACTATTGCAGAAATTGATAGAAAAGGCACAATTGATATAATGAAATACCCTCCTGAAAAAGGTGTTACCATTGAGTTGTGTGCTGGTCTTGTTGATAAAGAAATCCCGTTAGAAGAAATTGCGAAAGAAGAAGTATTAGAAGAATGTGGCTATTCAGCTAAAATTGTTGAAAGGGTAGAATCGCATATAGGTGATGTAGGTTACAGTGGAACCACACAAACATTGTTTTACTGTGAAGTTACTGATGAAATGAAAGTTAGTTCTGGAGGTGGTATTGATGATGAACAGATTGAAGTTATAGAAATGACTATTCCTCAAGTAATTAGCTATGTTAATCAAAGTGACATTTCTAGTCCTTCAGCTTTTCTATCTAGTATTTATTGGTTCTTGCTGAATAAACACAAAATTTAAAATACTGTTATACTATAATCAAAAACAGAAACCTATTTATTGTGATCCAAAAATGTATTTTTTAGAAGGCACTAGCTTTTACCCCGCGACTACGTGAAAAGAAGTAGCCTAGACTACTTCTGAAAACTTCCCTGCATGCCTATAAGATCTCATTAAAATCGATTTAGTCATTTCGAGTTGATAGGTAGGTAGGCAACTTCTTTTTCAATTCAGTTTTATTAATATGTGGAAAAGCATATATATACAGAAATTATGTCAACTTACCATGGAGGAATACTCCACACATACATAGTAAAGGCAGTTATAATATATAATAGAACTTCTTGTAAAATTTTAAATATTAATATTTTAATAACCTTGTCATATAATAAACAAGTATACTTATGTCAAATAATATTTTGTTTATTGATTATACCTATATATAAAAACATTTTTACAAAAGCTGTAGCTATGAAAGCAAAGGTGGACTATTTTAGAAGCTGTCTTGTTACTTTAATATTTCTTCTTCTTTTTACTACTATTACATATTTGTTGCTAAAATACAATAGTTTACAATTAAATTTTTCATAATTATTTTTTTTACTAATATAATTTGTATTTTCATGTTAGGCTTTCTTATTAAATCTTTTTAAATAATTTCTAAAAAAAATTAAGTTTTTGGAAAAGTATCCTAGTGTACGTATAAATAAAGCACATAAAAGGAAAAATTGGAAATATTAAGTATTTAACAAAATTCAAAGTTTGTTTCCTTTTTTGTTATTATTGTCAGATTTAGCATTCATTATTTTGCGTGCTTTAATGATAGTGCATCTAAATCTACCTGCTTACCAATAAAAAATTAATGTTCAAATAAAAAGTCAAATTTTAAAATTAATTTTATTATTATCAAAAATTTATAAAAATAACTTCACAGTATATTTCATTCAAAAAACTTTGTAAAACAAGGTATTAAAAGAACCTTTTCATATTTTTTTCGACAATGAAAATTTAAAATGGAAATGCCTTTGGTATATTTATTTAGATATAGGCAGTGATTAGTCCATAAACTTCCATGTTAAAATAAAATTACTACAACTAAAATTATGTAGATTGACAATTGATTTTATCAGTCTAAGAAATCTCAATATTGTGAGAAACACAAGATTACTCTTATGGCACTGAAATTAAATTTATATACATATTTAAAAAGCATTTTTATTAACTAATAAAATGCAGGTTTAGTTAATAAAACATGAGTTTTTCAAAAATCTTTGGTGATAAATCGTATGCTTCTTAAAGTTAATTACAACAGAAAGATACAAGAAATATAACTAATTACTGTAATGTTTTACTTAAATAAATATTATTTGATTTTACATCAATTAATCATTACTATGGCACTATTTTTTCTATAAATAACTTCAACAGGTATCTACTTTGTTTAGATATCGAATAAAAGTAATAAATATAAGTGACAAAAAAATCTTAAAGTAAAAATATAAAAACTGGAATATCCAGCCATTTCAGAAATATCTTAATTAGCATTTAATTTTTTGAAACATTTACCATTTTGTTGGATGTCATTAAAATTATAAACAGGTTTTGGTGGTGGTAGAAATGTATAATCAAGAGAAGATACTGCTTTCTGAAGATGTTCCAAGTCGAAACTTTCTGGAATGACAACCTTTCTTTCGTCTATGTCGCTAGGCGTTTTAACGTCATCTATACTGCTAAAACTAATTGCACTTATTCTATTGTTAATCCCATCTAACGACATTTGACTTTCAGTAGAAGATACTGAAAGCAGAGGCCTAGGTGGTGGGCAAACTTTATATAATTCAGTTTCTTTTACTTCAAAATATTTATTGCAGTTTTCTGGTTCTTTAAATCGTAAATGCAACTTGACATTTTTACAGCTGTCACTATTTCTTGGACTTTCGCTATGTTTTGTAGGTGTTTTCAACATATAAAGGAGTTGACCATAATCATGTTTTTCTGCAATTTCATATGGTGTTGCTCCTGAACCATTCTTTATTTCACGAGCCAATTCTCCTCCGGGGCATTCCAGAAGAGTTTTTGTTAAATTTTCCAATCCATGTCTAGCAGAAAAATGAAGAAGGGTTGGAAATTCCCCTCTACTCATGTTCCTCTGTGAATATGGTTTGTCAGAAATAAATGGGTCAGCGCATAAATTAAAGTGGGGTGGTAAGTTCTTTTGAAATGCTTCTGTCAAATAAGCATCTAATGTTTTACTATCAATGGAAGGAAGACCCAAACTCTGACACATAAAATTAATAGGATTATCGAGAGAACGTAAGATCTGCTCCAATTCTCTTAGACGACTTTCGCATTTCACCGGACGACTTCCAATTATATTTCCGTTTTTCTCAACGAGAATGTTTATAATTGTTGACATCTCGTTGCACATATCTGGAACGCTAATTTTTAATGTATAAGGATTACGACGTTTTACTGTTTTAATTTCTAGGAGTTCATTGTACCTTTCAACCGAAACTTTAATGACGTCGTCTTTTTGTAGAGGATGTGTAAGCATTATAACAATGCTATTCTGACCTTGTTTTATTTTCTTTGGTAGTACTGAGAATTGCGATTTTTCGCCAGAGAAAACGGAGCTTTGCTGTTTCCAAACTTTTGAAAATATCGCCATTGCAGATGCGAGAAATTCTTTAGTAAAATTTTCATCTTGATCTTGTCCAACTCGGTAGCGCATCCACTGAAAGTATGTGGGTAAAACCTGTTTGTGTACATCAATCAGATCATCATCACTCACTCCAAGGAGCAAAGCAAGTGTACGATCAGGAATCATTAATTTTCCTAAAGTTGTAGAAGGTGTGGGATACTTAGCTATATATTCTAACATACTGGGACATACAACGATCAATTGAAGTTTGACATTAGAAATTCTTTCAGCAATGGAACGAATATCACAATCAGCCTCTGAAAATTCATCTGCCCCAATATATAAAACTTTAAAAGGCTTTCTGTTAGCTTGCTTACTAATTTGTTGAAAATAAGATATAAAATATTCAACCCACAGAGCTGCAGCGTTACTTTGCTTAATTGAAACAATAAGTATATCATCCATATTCTCAGTTTTTACAAGTGGACGCTTGTTGCACAAATTACAACGTTTTCTTGGATATGAACCATGTCTTAAAGAATGATCATCTAATACTGCTCCTGTTGAAAAATGCCTAAGTGAATCATGATTTTTTCCAACACAATTACTTGTAACTGTAGCCTGAGAAGTATCTTTTTGAAGGGGAAGATTATCATTACTTTCATTAGCTGCAATTGCACCAGTTGAATGACGTCTGTCTGCAAAGGTATCACTTGAAACATTATAATATCGCAGATTATCTACATCAAATCCATCATCTTCATTTTCTGATTTTTGCACTTCACTTTCACTTTTTGTAACAGTCTTTGCAGAGTTCCACTCAGTTTCACTAATATTACATTCATCAGTATAAAAATCTGGCAATCTGTGATCATGGATTGTAAGTTCATGATTGGAATTATCTGAATTAGAACTTAATGAACGACAAATTGATTTATGAGACTTTGTACTCAAATCAGACATCTCAAAACCATTTGCCTTAGTTGTGAATGAACATTTTATTTCTATTCCACTTGCAATAGCAAAATAAGAAGGATTATCTAAGGCCATTTTTTAAAAATATAAAATACGAAACACTTCTTACGACTCTTTGAAGAACAATATAACTGAAAATTCGAAATGTTTCTGTGCCACGGACAGGAACAAATCTATTATAATGTATCCGATTTGTATTCGACAAGGAAGACACCTCCCGCCGCTTTGGTACGACAAACGTGATCAGAAAATACTATCAACTTCCTTTGTAAGAATAAATGTGCTTCCACAAGACAAAGAACTATGGGTTGTTTTAAAGGAAATGCGCCACAGTTATCTCAATATTATTCACTTTGCTGCGCCTTGTTTCCACAAAGACTAGTTCTTCACTCACGATCTCGTCCCCTTATTTGGTTCATGTTTTCACTAAGATGTAAACATCTTTACGACACAGCCCTTACAGATAAATAAACAATGATCATAGACAAAGATGAACAGATGAACAGATTCAAATAACCCGGAAGTGGATGAGGAGACGATGGCGATAACGAACCAAACATACCACCATAAAGTAGAAGAAAAATTCAATCACATGCAAAAATTCTGTGTAATTATATCAAAAATAATAATAAATAAATTAGAAGTGCATGTCTATGTATAGTTTTGCAACTACATTCCTGCGGTTTAAAATTTAAAGTTAAAGATATATGTTATATATTTTTATTTATTCCTACTCTAACTCTCCAATTTTGATTCTTTTTTATTAACTTTTTATGCTTAAAATTTGTTGGGCTCTGTCATACTTCCGGTTAAAAAAATATAAACAAAGGTGTAAATTACGTGAGATAACAGAAATTATTTAATACCTATGTAGTTATAACTTTGGACTGTTAAAAACAGTTATTCTAACGTACCCTAGGTGTTTATATTACAACAAATTGTTATTCCTAACCGGATGTTTACCGGAGGTAGGTCAATTTATATTCAAAACAAGACTGCGTTTATAGTAGTGTTCCTTAATGGGAAGTTGAAACGTGACCCGATTTACTAACGATCTAATCTAATTGTAATTAATTATAGGTGTTTGACGACATGTTACTATACATATAGGCGAACGTTTTAAGTCTGATTTTAACAAAAGTACAATGTAAATGCAGTATTAATTATTGTGTAGTTTAATTAAGGCACTGTTTAATTATAAACAGAAACATAAATACACTTAATTTATTCCACTAGAAAGAAACTAGAAGTCAGAATATATGAAATTCCAAATATTAATTGTTATATAAGACTTAAATATTTAGAAAATGAATAATTAAATTGCTTAATTATCACGAAGACTTTAGATTTCTTTAAATGATTTGCTTAGATTTATTTACTTACTCACAGTTTAATAAATTAAACGATTTCTTTTACTTTAAATGAGAGTATTTTAGGTATTTCTCTGTTTAATAATTGTCAGAAATTAAAATTATAACTTTAAAATTTGAATTTTAAGCCGGGAAAAAAATTACTGGAAGCCAGGAGAAACGCAAGCGCAGAGCGCAGATAGATTTCAAATGTCAATTGTCATGTTCTAAAATCGTGTTCGGTTCTAGACAACAATCAACAGGTTAGGTTGTAAAAATTATAAATTATTGCACTTACTATTAATGTTAATACTTTTATCAACTAGCCGGTTTTTCACATAATTAATCTTGAGTTGGCCTTTAAAATAGTTCTGTTTATTTAAAGAAAAAATGGCGTTTGCATCACCTATGCCAAGCAGAGAATTTCTCTGGGACGTTTTTCAGAGGTAAGTAAATAATAAAATTTTGTTTTACTTTTGTTACAATGTTATAAGAAAAGGTTGATTAAAACGAGAAAAACAAAAATGTAATGTTTTTAGGGTTGATAGAGACAGAAGCGGGTATATTAGTGCAGATGAATTGCAGCAGGCTTTATCAAATGGAACATGGAGCCCCTTTAATCCAGAAACTGTACGACTAATGATTGGTGAGTCAATAATTTTGTTTCTGGTACATTTCTAGTTAGTTATTTCTGGAAAATTAGAATGAAAGAACCATTACAAAAGACTCCAATTATATCTTGTGAAATATTCTACAAATGTTTATATTTTGATAACTCTAAACCTCAGATGTTACTAAACAAGAAAACTATCGTTTTTATTTTAAGGTCAAAGAATTTACTTTTTATTTTAGGTATGTTTGATAAAAATAATCGTGGACAAGTAAATTTTGAAGATTTTGGAGCTTTATGGAAATATGTAACTGACTGGCAAAATTGCTTTAGATCTTTTGATAGAGACAACTCAGGAAACATAGACAGGCATGAATTGAAGACTGCTCTTACAACATTCGGATATAGGTTATCAGATACATTGGTTGATTTATTAATAAGGAAATTTGATAGACATGGTCATGGAACAATACTTTTCGATGACTTTATTCAGTGCTGCATTGTTTTATATGTAAGTTTAAAATTTTGCAAATGTTTGGAATATTACAAATTCAATTTTATTTGTAGACATTAACTTCTGCATTCCGCCAATATGATACTGACCAAGATGGTGTAATTACTATACATTATGAGCAGTTTTTATCCATGGTTTTCAGTTTAAAGATTTAACTGCGTTGAGGTGTGGCCTTTACATTATTTAATCAGTAATACCTAGTATGTTTTAAGAATAATGTATACTGTAGGAATCTTCAAATGTAATACCTATTAGAAATAAGCTCAATTATGGCCAAGTTATTTACAAGCTTTAAGTATTATATTTATGAAACCTTCTAGGTGTTGTAAAATTTCTATCAGTAAATAATTAAAGATGTATTTTCAGTAAAGTGTTGTGATATTTATGTTTTTTAAGAATAGATTTATTTACTTATGTGAGTAGGTAATTATTTATAATAACCACAATTTTCATAACAGTTAAACAACTAAAAACAATCCAGATCCTCCTCTTCATGTCTTGTAAAGTCCAATCGAAATCAGTTCAACTACTTTGAACAGTTTTGAAGGGTCATTTGTGTCTTCCTAATAGGTAGTGTGAGTACAAATAACCCACAAGCTGTTACTATGATATTACAGGAATGTATTTCAGTTTTATATATATATATATATATGCTTTTATTTACGCAAAACTAGCAAAAAGGGTATGATTCATTAGCTTTATTTGGCAATGAGTAATAGGAATAATAGGAAAGAACTATGAAAAAACTTTTAAAAACTTTAAAAGTTGCCTTTACAATGTTGCCTAGTCTTATTACACTTTTTCATATTATGTATATGTAATGATTTTGGATAGGTAAATTTTGTTGATCAAGAAAATAATTAAAAAAATATTTAGCTCCAAATATTTTTGCAATAGTAGCACAACCATAAAATACAAACTGCTCACTTAAATCCTTTTAGTACCAAAAGAGTTTATTACTCGTAAAATTATTTGTTAGTCTTTTGAATAAAATTACGTTGTTAGAATTTTAAAATTTTAGGAAGAGTATTAAGATTACGATGAAATGCTAATATTACATTTCGTGTTCTATGTTTCTAACTTTGTTTTAGTTATTAATAAACTCAAATAATATTTAATCAAGGGTAAATTTCAATACAGCAACAATTAAAAAAATTTAATGACCGATAGGGGTAATAATTAAACAAGGATAATGACCGACAATGCCAACAATACAACAACAATCAGAAATTTATAATGGCCGACAGCGGCAACAAATAAAAAGTATTATGGCCGCCAAGAGTAACAATAGGGCAGCAATTAAAAAGTGTAATGGTAGACACCTCAATGAGGTGTATGCTTTATATCTTTTGCATGTTTTTTTTTAAGAAAAAATTACATATTTACCTTCAAAGCAATTATTTGATAATTGTTGGCAACATAGCCAGTAATAGTATAATCAGTATAATAATCTTAATTCTTAAATGAACATTGAAGTGATTGAAGGATATCACGTGGTATTAAATAAGGTTTGGACGTTTCTTTTATTATCAGTGTGTTATTTATTGTTGTAATATTCTTTTATTGAGTTTTATTACACTGGTTGAAAAAGTAATATCGTAATCTCGAGTATAGAGTGTAAACCGTCTAATATACATAAACATAAATAAAGTGAAGTTACATTCATTTGTTAATATTAAAACAAAACAATGGCTTTTGAGTCTCCAGCACCTTCTCGAGAATTTTTATGGGACATTTTCCAAAGGTATTGAAGAATTTAAAATACAATATTTAATAGTAATTTTGAAATTAATTTTAGAGTTGACAGAGACAGAAGCGGTTACATATCATCTGATGAACTTCAGCAGGCTCTATCAAATGGGACATGGAACCCTTTTAATCCAGAAACAGTGCGTTTGATGATTGGTAAGCTCACAAATAATAAAATATGTTAACATATTTTCTATATTATTGTGTTATTCCTTAATAGGAATGTTTGATAAACAAAATCGTGGTACAGTCAGTTTTGAAGACTTTGCTGCACTGTGGAAATATGTAACTGATTGGCAAAATTGTTTTCGATCTTTTGATAGAGATAATTCGGGGAATATTGATAGAAATGAACTTAAAATAGCACTTACTACCTTTGGCTATAGATTGTCTGATAATCTTATAGATCTGATTATGAGAAAATTTGATCGAAATGGAAGGGGAACTATATTATTTGACGATTTTATACAATGCTGTGTTGTACTTTATGTAAGTAAAAATATTAAAAAAAAAAGAAAGAATATTAATTTGTTCTTTTTAGACTTTAACATCTGCTTTTCGCCAGCATGATACAGATCAGGATGGTGTAATCACTATTCATTATGATCAATTTTTAAGCATGGTTTTTAGTCTTAAAGTATAAGGTTTAAGCATGTCAATGATATATTGTAGCATTTGAATTTGTAATTTTTAGTAGGGTACATGCAGTATTTAAAGTATAATTCTACATGAAACAAGAAATGCAACTTATTTATGTTAAATTGGCCCAATAGGCTTTCTATTTTTATATTAATTATTCAGTAATAAAGCATACTTAAAAATACATATATAAAAATAAAGCATGGACAAACTAGTCCTGAAGCTGTATTTTGTAAAGTGTAGTTGCATTGAAAAAAATCATTGCTAAAGGAGTATAGTATTAGGTATTTAGCCCTGTAAGCTCAAGGGTCAATGCTATGAATTGTTATCATAAATAGGGGAAGAAGAAATTAATAAAAAACAATTTTTAGAAAACAGCAAACTCACTGTATTCTATTTCTAGTTTCGCTACTACATTTAGATTTATGGTTAGTATATTTAATACATTATTTTACACCCTACAACACTCTCCAAATATAATGAATACGCATTAACATTTTATCAAACTTTATTGTACAAACATTAATTTAATTGCAAACATAAATGTTATTTTTAATGTAACAATTAGAAAATAACGAAATAATTAATATTAATGGAAACAATAACTGAAAATAATAATGTCTATTCCTTGTCAGAGTCCTTTAACGTATCAAATAAGCGCTCGAACTCTTCGTACTATTGAAAAAAAAAAAAATTTCACTAAGAGAAATACAAGGATGCATTCATATTTGTACCTGTGATGGTAATGTAGTGTTTTGCTCTGATATTTGAGTCTTACTGCGGCTGATGTTGTGGACATCATGGGATGTAGTTGAAAATGTAACTTTCTTGTAAGGGGATCTTGAAGTTTGCAAAGGTTTTTTTAGTATCCCAGAATTTGGTCGTTCTTTTTCTTTTACAGCAGTTGATTTTTTTACCTGATTTCTTGCTGTTCCCCCTTTCATTGTTTGAATTTCTTTGGACAATGTTTGGTTTTTGCTTTTAATGATGGTTAGTTGGTGTTTTTTTCTGTTAATTTCATTCTGTATTTTTTCGTTCTTTTTAATGTTTCCAGCGTAGTCTGTCTTAAGTTTTTCCAGTATGCCTGGGTTCTGCTTCATTAGCAGTTGCAATTTTTTTTGTCTTTCTTTTTCAACTCTTTCATTTTCTCGAGTAAATATGGAGATCTCGTTATTGATTACAGAAAGTTTATTTTCTTGTTCTTCTTTATCTTTTTTGTTTTTCTGTTCCATTATGTCTATTTCTTTTTCCAATTGTTCTTTCTCTCGATTGAAGGCAATTTCTGCTTCCAAATTTTCTTTTTGTAAAATCAACAGAAGATTGTTGTTCTCTGTTAATTTATTTCTTAGCTGTTCCTGCATTTTTTTTAGTTCTGCTATTTTATTCAAATTGAGGTTGTTTGTGATCTTTAATCTGTCTTTTAACTGGAAGTGCTTTTCCATCAAACCATTCAGTTTTTGTTTTTTGTCTTGATCAGAGGCAAGGTCCTAAAATATACAAAGAAATACATAAAAAAAAAATAGATAACATTCCTTACCATGCTGTATGCTTCCTGTATTTTTTTTTCGTCTTCAATTGCATTGTTTGCTTCACGAAGTTTACTTTGAGTATATTCTATTTCGTTTTGCAGATCAAGAACTATTTTGTTGTTCTTATCCTGGATTTCACGTATGCTCCTCTCATAGCCAGTAATTTTTGTTTGTAGTTGACCTACTTCATTTTCTGCTTCATCAATGAGTCCAATATTTTCTGTTATTTCCTTAAGAATTTTTTTCATTTCTTGTTCCTTGTTCTTCTTGTCCTCGGAAGAGACCCGTAGACTAAATGTATTAAAAATTATTAAAAATAGAATGTAATTTAATTATTGAAATAAATACTTGTTAGAAATGTTCTCTACAACTTGCTTGTTTGCTAGTAAATTTATTTCGAATTCCTTTTGTTTCTTATCTCGTTCAGAAATGAGATCTTCTACGCAAAGAGATTTAAGAGAATCTCTTAACTTTTCATTTACCTTTTCTTCAGTATTATAAGAATTTAAAAGTTCCTGGCGTTTGCTTAATTCCTGATTGTATTCTTCTTTCATGGTTAAATAAATTTGTTCTTTGCTATTGTATACATTTTGCAAAATGTCTACATTTTCTCTAAAATTTTTGATTTCTAAATGTAGTTGATCATTTTCGTCCTCTATGTTAGCGATAACTTCTTCTGATTTTAGTATTTCGGTCTGTTTTGTATTAAATACTTTATAAAGTTGTTTGTGCGTGTCAGAAATTGTATCTTCAGAGTTTTTCAAGCAACTTAAATCATTTGAATTATTTTTGTAATTGCATTCTAAAACAGAAAAGAACTCCTTCAGTGCCCCTATCATTTGACCTGTGCTAATCATTTCGTTCTCAAGCTCCTTTAATAGTATTTTTTCATTTTGACAATCTATTTCAAGTTGTTCTTTTTCCTGTAATAGTTTCAACTTTTCTTTTTCGTATACGTTCAACTGATTATTCAGTAACAACAATTCATTTTTTAATGAAGTGTCGATTGCTGCTTCTTTCATCTAAAATGTGAATTTCAGAAGGAAAGGAATTTATTATTAATTAGCATATGTATTCATATACTTGAGTGTTTATAACTTCGTTTTCTTGTAAATCCACAAATTGGTTTAAAATAATACTGCTTTGATATTTAAACTTGCATTGTGGTATATATTCGTTCATTTCATTACTTTTGGAATTATTGTCTTCTTGTTGGATATTCAGTAAAATTTCCTCATTGTGTTTTTCTAGTAAACTTGAATTTGCACATAACGAAGGGGTGTGCTTCTTAAATACGTAGTTTTGATTGTTAGGAAGGTCTTCTTTAATCTTTTCCATATTTAAAACGTAAACTTCTAATCAATTATATTTCTGATTAGTACAATTAATTAAAGTTTTAAAAATTTGTTACCAACTGAAATTGTATACCTCTTATGTTAACAACTTTAACAAGAAAAAGAAACTACTAATATAACCAAACTTTATACATCACAATTTTTTTTAAAAATCAATTCTTAGATATATATTTTGATAGAATTGAATTGATTTTTTAGTGCAAATCAAAAATGCTCGCCTTTGGAAGCCTACCTTACATTAATGAAAATGTTTCGTAACGTTACATGAAACACCCTGTATCTAAGCTTCCTATATCCGAGTTTTTACCAACAATGGGAAATAGAAATTTTTGGTGTTTTTCACATTGTCGCATGTGCGGATGTAATAAATGGGAGTAAACTCTAAGTAAACTAGTAAATAAACAGCGGAATCATGGAATAATTTAAAGAGTGATGTCATTTCTTTGAAATACAATTGTTAGAAACTAATCGTGAATAAAAGTTCTAACCGGTCAACTCGTTATCGCAATGACGGTCGTTGAGGTTAAAAATAATTTAACGATAAATAAAACACATTTCGTATTTTGTTGTTAGTCGTATGAGTGAAATATCAACATCTTGTAAAGATTTCTAATGTGCAGTGAAGTTTTTGTTAAGGCAAATAGGTACATTTTTATAAAGTGGTAGTGCTAAATAATTATAAATGTTTATTTTTAAATTTACACATGGCTTTTAGTTTCCATCCGTTAGTATGCGAAGTGAAACGATATGCATGAAAACCATTTTGCATTTCGCATATTTCGTCACTGACACTGAGCACCTCTTATAAATCATGGTACTCGTATATTTTTAAGTTGAATTTTGCATCTGTGAAGTTGAACCTTGCCCTACCCTTTTATATTCTCCTATTAGTAGCAACACAACTTTCTGTTGGTTTTTTATATCTATAAATATATACAATAATTATTATTTATTAGAATTTACATTCTAAAGTAAGTTGCTATAGTTTTTATTTTAATTCTTTAAAGTTACATGTAAACATCAGAATCTTCATAAGGAGCTCATCTGTATCTCATATTCATAATTACTAAATATATAGGGTGATGTCATGTCATATTCTGTTGATTGCAGGATTTGAAAGATGGATGATGATGATGATTTTTTTGATACAAAGTCTGTAAATTCTTTTTCTTCATTTGGGAGAAGAAGAAGCAGTGATATAGACAAAAGACTTTCAAGGAGCACAGTTTATTATTCTGCTTGGGATATGGAATTAGACAATTTGGTTAGCACACCAGAAAAACAAAAAAAGGTCTCTAATAAAAATGTCACTACGTATTCTGAGTGGAAAGATAGGGTACAAAATTGAATTTATAAATCAAGTACCTATATAATTTTGCTTTTTTTACTTTTAACATTTCACTTCTCAAGTAACGAATCTTTACACATTTTCAAATGCAGTACTTACATACACGATGTAAACATTACTGTTTTATATCTGGGTAAACATTTTAAACATTTTTTTAATGATGTTTGTATACTGATAATTTAAATTGCTTTTTATTCTTTGAGCCTTTTCTTTAAAAGTTTTGTTACCCTTTTGTCTTTTTTAATTGCTCATTTTTATTGGCTCATTATGGAATTGTTTATAGATTTATTGAAAATGTAGTGTATAAAATAATGATATCAAGCTGAATGATGCAGTTAAATATGACTCAGTCAGTAACATTAATAGTTAGTCGAAAATGTGGTATTAGGAAAATAAATTTTGTACTCTAATCTCTTGCCTGCCAAAGATAAGCTTATTATATTTTAGTTTTTTTAACTGTTCTATAACACTTGGTGTTGTGTTTTTGTTTGCATTTTTTGGTTGCTTTAATTCCAATTATAACAACATCCTTTGACTAACAATGTTAACTTTTCTACCAGGAGTGAGTACTTAATTTTTGCATATAAATGAGCTCTTTAGTTAAAACCGCTTTATTTGATTGTAAGAGAGTCAGAAAATAGTTTTTGCTTTTCCAAGTTTTACTGATATTATATTTAGAAACATACCTACTTTAGTGGTTTTATTATTGTCAAGATGTTATTTAATTATTCTATTATCATGAATATTCAGGTCAAAAAAACCCAAATGTAATGGAATATGTTGAAAGATTTTAAATGGTTTTTAATGAGACCAGTACTTAAGTGTGATAAATTACTTTATGGGGGGTTGAATATTTATATCGATATGTGTACTTAAAATGTAATCTTTTCAAAAAGTGCTTGTTGATAAATCGCCTTGATAAGTAGGTAGAATTCTACAAATTGCTGTTATGCTTATCATTTTAATATTAATTTAAAATACATTTGAGTTAATTAATATTGTTTGCATATTTGATTTCTTTTTCATTTGTTTTTATTATTCATTTGTTTTTTTAAACAAATTTTGAAAAATTTAATTTACCAACTTTCATACATGTATGAATATACATAAAAAGATTAGGTGCTTATTCAATTAAAAAAAATTAACAATTAAGTTTTTCTTGGGTTCTGCTTCAGTTGCATTTTTGATATTTGCTCGAATGCGATTAGCGTTAATAGTAATTTTTTATAGAACTGGAGGAGTTTTTCTCAGAGTGATTTAAGTGTAGATTTTGTGTTAGCTTATACTGAAAATGACAACTCTGAACATAAGCGAAAAAGGGAAAAGTTTGAAGCAAATTTACAAGAACAGGGTCTGTTGTTGGAAAAAGAGGAAAACCAAAAGATATGTTTCGTGAAAATTCATGCTCCAGAGGAGGTACTCAGCAGATATGCGGAAGTTTTAAAATTGAGATTACCTTTAAAAGACGTAAGTTTTATTTTAGCTTCTTTTTTTAATATTTGTGAATAAATTACACATTTATGTAATGTGGCGTATTCACTATTTTTAGTAAAAATGTTCTATTTGCGTAAATTCTTTCAGCATAGAATGAATAATTAATGAGAATGATAAGTAATTTATGGATAGCGATAATTTTTTGGATACAATTGAAACAAATAGCATTTTAAATAGGTACATAATTTAAATTGTAAATGTTACGATTATTTTAAAAGGTAAAATTGTTTGTTTTCGAAGTACAACTTCCACCTTATTTATTTTTATATTAACTATTACTTATTTATAATTCATGAATTCACAAGATTTTGTTTGATATTTAGTTGATTTATATTTCAGTGAAATTGTCAAAAATTATTTCTGGCTGATTCAGAGATGTGCACAAATAATTTCTTAAATAAATTAAATAAATTCTTTTTAAAGTGAAACTTTTACTTTTATTGGACTTTTATGTCTTTGTTAAATTACTTAGAAGTGTAGATCAGGATAAGCAAATTCGATTTTTATATCATCCTAGATGTGAATTTATATTGGTACTTGCTTATTTATTATTGCAGCCAATTTCCGACCAGGAAAAACCCAACATGTTGGATTCGATGGTGTCGAATATTTTAAAAATACTTCAAGTTGAAGTTGATGAAAATAAATTTCCTAAACAAAAATATAAACTGACTGCACCATATGCAAGAAATAAAAGTTATTTGTAAGCAATTTAATTGTAATATTATGACAACAAAATTGAACTTCTTTTTACTACCATTTACAATGGAGACTACCGAGATCTGTGTATGGAGTAACCAGTTGGTGGATAAGTACTACCTTGTGGTGGATTAAACTACACTTCAAACTAATTATTATGCACTTAATTCGAATACTATAGGATGATGGGTTAATGATTAAAATAAAGTTTAAATTTCAATATTAACTTATGTACTGGCAATGTTTTTAATCGAAAGAGACTGAAGATAAGTTACGATGTTAAAATAACTAATGGATTTAGGTAGACTATCATGTAGGTTTCTAAGAGACACAAAGCAGTCTGCAAGGAATCGCTTAGTTGTGAGGATGGGATGTAAAAAGACTTGTGCGTACGCTGATACATGCGACCACTTTACAGTATTATTTCATGTATTCCACTTGTATTATTTAGAGAGCAGTTAATTCTTTATTCGTCTTGCTCACCGTCATTGTCATTGTCGGATTTTTATTCAGTAAACCCACTCTTATTGTCATTTGTGTATCTCTTTACAGGCCAATCTCGGTAGTCTTCTTAAAATACTTATAAAATATTTAATTTTGAAAGCATTACAATACTTATTAAGAGTGTTAATTGATGAATTTGAATCGCATTTTGTGCTTCTCTTTTTTTAATTTAAATATGGAGAGTAACTACAAAAATGACTAGGTTTTTATTGTATTTAATTTTCTTATAAATTAAAGAGTTGTGTAATAGAGAAAATGCAAAATAATGTTCCAAGATAGATATTGTAAAATCATTCAAATTTAATTGAAACAGTTATTTACTTATCATTATTTAACAGAATGCACTGGAATAATTTGTAATTAGCTGCCTTTGTTTTTTCCTGGTATTTACATTTCCATTTTTTTTACATACATACTCAGGATATATTCTACTATTAGCACAACAATCTATTCAAATATTAAGAATCATAACAGGAGTAATTTGTGGCAATTCATTTATTTATGTAAAATTTTCAGGTTTGACACAGAATCGCCGAATTTCTTTTCGACATCCGTTCGTTTGATAGTGGTCTCGTACATTCTTGAACGTGAAAAATTCGACGAAGAGAACCAAAATAGGGGCATTAAAATGCTTACGTCAGAAGGTGTGTATAAAGCTGCGTATCCTCTGCATGATGTAAGTGCATATTTTGAAATGTTTTTTTCGCGTTCTGATAAATAGCATACGCTCTTCCAGGGGGATCCTAAGACACCAGGTTCGCAACGTCACCTTTTGCTTACCGAGTGGGCAGCAGTGTCCAAGTGCATGAAATTACAGCCCATAGATTACATAAAAGAATATTTCGGTGTCAAATTTGCTCTGTACTTCACCTGGTTAGGATTTTACACCCACATGTTGATCCCTGCGGCTTTGATCGGTTTGGTCTGTGTTATATTCGGTCTGGCAACTCTTGATAACGACACTATTAGTCGAGACATTTGTAACTTGAACATCACAATGTGTCCACTTTGCGATAAATATTGCGATTACTGGCAACTGTCCAAGACTTGTATTTATGCGAAGGTGGCTCGAGTGATAGATAATCCTATGACAATCGTCTTTGCCGTCTTTATGTCTTTCTGGAGTGCTTTATATCTGGAACTGTGGAAGCGTTACAGTGCTGAGATTACTCATCGATGGGGTCTGACAGGGTTCGACTTGGAGGCCGAGCCTCCGAGGACCGAGTACTTAACTAGATTAGCTAATGCCAAAAAACATAAATTGAATGTTACACTCCAAATGAATGAGCCTGTGGTGCCCTTTTGGCGTGTTAAAGTTCCTTCTATTATTCTTAGTTTTACTTTGGCAATTTTTTGGGTAAGTTGTATACTGTTGAACAAGTGCATATGCAGCCAAACTTTGGGAAGAAGTAGTACCAAAAATATTTTTTTACAAGCATAAACCATCACTGGATTACAATTATAAACACTCTTAGAAAAAAAAACATCCAACAGTAGCATTTAAATTGGGAGTAAAGGTTAATTTAAAAAAAGTATTAAACAAACTGTTTTTAATCTCAATAGTTCTTCAAATATGTACATCATTCGAAATTACGTAAAACGTTCACAGTCATTAGCTTATACATATACTTATACTTATATATATTGCAAATATTATCATTTCTAAAAATTTAAACTGGAAATTGCGTCTTTAGCGCGCTGAGATTAAGAATGGATGAAAATGTAAAGAAATAAACTTGGATATCATTAATTGCAAATAAGCTTTTTTGTCTTAATTTTAACTTAACATGTGGTAATTTCTTCTGTTATTTCTTATTTTGCAGATATGTTTAGCTTTGAGTGTGGTCGTTGGTATAATTATATACAGGATGTCTCTAGTCACTTCTAGCGCTTTATATGCAGACAGATTAAGTTATCGTGTGTACGTGGTGCCTGTTACTGCTGGTCTAATAAATTTGGTTTGCATTGTAATTTTAAATCTTATTTACGATAAATTGGCTGTTTGGTTGACTGAAATGGAACTGCAGAGGTCCCAGACCGAGTACGACAACAGTTTGACTCTTAAAATTTACATGTTCCAATTCGTCAATTATTATTCAAGTATTTTTTACATAGCATTTTTGAAAGGGAAATTTGTCGGATACCCTGCGAAATACAATAAAGTCTTTGGATATCGACAGGAAGAGGTAAGCGCCTTTTTATCTTTTTTATTGTGTACCAATGCTGTAAAAAAATTGTTTACAAATGAAACATGCAGTAATATTGGTGCTGTATTTGACATAATATTTTGGGTGTGCATGCGTGGTGTATGCATGATGTGTAAAAATATATTAATTATTTGTTTAAATTTTCTGTTTTCTCTTTTACTATGTTCGATCTTTAGTCTATTTTTTTACCCCATAACATTATTTTTAGTTTCTTATTTTCTTCATATTTTAATACTCTTTTTGATACTTTATGTGGCTTTTAAGATACAACTTAAGTATTTTTTATTATTTTAGTGCAATCCTGGTGGGTGCCTTATGGAGCTTACCATCCAATTGGCGATTATAATGATCGGCAACCAAGCGATTAACAGTATCTTAGAGCTTTTGATTCCGTTCTTAATGAAATTATATAACACGTTTATGATAAAGACAGGTTTGGATACTGCGGGTAGTGACGATGCTATAGTCAGCTGTAACCAATGGACCGAAGATTATAAGTTAACAGAGTTGGGAGATACAAGGCTGTTCACGGAATATCTTGAGATGGGTGAGAGTTTATTTTATTTCACTTAATAATCTCAAGGCTAATCACGCCAATAGTTTACATTTTTTTTAATTAAATTTATGTTCATTTAATTATTTGTTAACTGTTCTATTTTAAATTTCAGTGCTCCAATACGGGTTTGTGACAATTTTTGTCACAGCGTTTCCCTTAGCGCCTCTATTCGCTTTAATAAATAACATTTTTGAAATGCGTCTCGATGCCAAAAAATTCATTAAATATTATCGACGCCCGGTGCCACGACGAGTCAAAAATATCGGCGTCTGGTTTCGAATAATCGACTTCCTTGGTCGTATTTCTATTGTTTCCAATGCCTTTATAATCGCCTTTTCTTCAAACTTCATACCAAAACTTGTCTATCTGTTAAAAGAGAACAAAGAACATACAGAGGAAGGTTATTTAAATTTCACTCTCTCGTTTTTTGATACGAGAGACTTCCGGGTCGGTGCTGCACCTGTCAATAGTTCAATCGACGTTGCCATGTGTCGATATCCAGATTATCGATATCCTCCCTGGCACGAAATGCGATATAAAAGACCGTCAGTTTATTGGCACATTTTGGCGGCTCGATTGGCCTTCGTGGTTGTCTTCCAGAATCTCGTAAGCATAGTAGTCGCAATCGTGCAAAGTATACCGGACATGCCACGAAAACTCAGGGACCAGATTAAGAGGGAAGCATATACTGTTAATGAAACTATCATTAAGGAGGAGACACAACGGGCCAGGGAACGATCTAAGAAAGGTAAGCAAAGATGATTGTATTAAGAAAATTAATTTAGCTCAAGTAAGGGTAGAGTCAAATGATTACATACATATATTACTTTACCTATATACAATTGGTTATCGTAAATTAATAATCGAAATCAAATTGAAAGTATGCACCTTTATATGGTGAATAAAAGCATACAGGATGCATTGTACAGTAAATAAAACATGTGCTTTGTAGAAATATTAAACAACAGTGAAAATATTAAAATATTAAATGATTGGTAGAAATATTCAATACAAATTAAAAAGATCAAACACTAATTAAAATATGCATTATCTATTCGATAATTATCTCGTCACAATCATAACTATAAGTACATAGCAAAATGGAAGTAATAAACTTCAAATTGACGATGAGTGTAATATTTTTATCATTAATCAGTTTTGGTTGTATAATATTAATTTTTTTCTAGATAATTCTCGAGATTTTATTCATAATGAGAGGAATGGAAGTCTCCCAGGAGGTAATTATGACAGGGGAGAACCATTTGGTGGTGTCATCCAAAGAAATAGAAACTCTGTGTACCATGACATATCTGAGACTTAATTGGTACTATCTGATTAATTATATTAACATTATTTATTATTATCTCGCTACTTCTGCAATCTTTGCTAAATACTCTATTTTATATTATTTTATAATTATTCAAAAGAGATTAGCTGTTGCCTGAGGCCTTTTTGCCTTGCCTTTTAGATGTTATAGGAGCTACGTTTTATATAATTTTATTGTAATTATTGTAATAAAAATTTTACCTATGCTGTTAACAAATTGACGTTTTTAATAAATGTTTTCTTATTAAAACACTTGTCAACTTACGTTTTGCTCTTAGAATAAAATTTGTAGTAGGTTTGATATCAAAAGTAAAAATGAGTTTATCATAAAAAAGAAATTCATTTTATAAAATTTAAAGGAAAGTTTACTTTTTAACCTGACACTTTTGAAAGTGCTTTTAATTTTATTATCATTTAAGAAATAAGTAATTTTGTGTAGAAGTATCTCATGTTAAAGACGAAGTGTCGAAAAGTATAAAGAAGATAGTTAATTGACTTCTTGTTAACAATAATCAAAAGAGGATTGTCTTTTTTATAAATAGTAGTTAACGCTCATTTCAAAATTGTTTTCTGAAGCGTACGTTTAAATTTCGCTCTCGCGGTCACTGTAATGTGAATCTGATCCAGCAACAGGCGCCCTCATCGGAGATTATACGAAATAAAGTTTCAACAGTTAGATGAAAGAGTGCGGTACAAGAAAGTTGAGCAAGTTTAATAATTATGTGTTGTTTGATTTTCTTTTCGGTGTTTAGTTGTGTTCTTGTGCTAACTCTTCTTTTTTATTAATTAATAATGATTGAACTTAACAGTACTATTGTTAATTTCATGTTGTGGTGAACTTTTAAATGAAAGTTACCTTTGTGATTTCTTGCGCTCTTACAATCAGCAGATGCCGGTAAGTTTAACCTTTTGACTATTAAATTGGCAGCTTCCAATTAGCTGAAATTAGTGTTTTACATATTTCTGGAGCTTTCTTGAATGGCTTTTTCGAATTATTATGTGGAATATACTTTCAGAATGTTGATTCCATTTAGGTGACGAAGTTACCAGATACATTTTACTATTAGGTAAATGCGGTAAATTGGTATGTTCCATATTATACATGAGTATTTCTGGGTTTTGCGATTATAATGTAGAAGATATTTATAGAATTTTGATTTTATTGTATTTACCTATGTAGGTATTAGTATTATTAGTATTAGGTAAATACGGTATGGGCAAAGTACTTATACCTAGGCATTAAAAAGCAAAATCATATTTTCTGTCCTTTTTCTGTTGTCTTTACAATAAATAAGTAGCACTTTTATACACCTCTCTTTTTAAATTGGTGTTTAATAAGAGTTTTTCAATCAAACAATTCGATTAATAGAAAAGAAATATATTTTGCCAAATGTAACACGGTCACAGACCATTGAAACTGATAAATAACATGTATGTAAATTTGTTATAGGTACTTTGTATATTTGAATAGAAAAGCTTTATAACATGTAGACATAATATTCTGCCACTGACTCTTTAAAAAAAAGTTAAAACGAAGAAAGGCGATTATTTATAATATAATTACAAGTATTTTTTACGTGTAAAAGTTATTAACAGCAATACTGTAAGTGCTTTGTGACGATGTAAATGTACAACATGTACAAAGTATCTTTTCATACAGAGACACGTCAATAATATACTTGCGAATCAGTCTAATTAAACACTGGAGACCAGTAAATATACACCCCTTAATATAAAAAAAAGTAGACACTTAGTTGCAGCTTCCTGTAAAAAGTTTGCATTTTTTAACAGTACATATATATTATATTATATATGTACCCTCTATTGGTTAACTTTTTTTGAGAAAAATTGTAACAAAGTGTTAGTTTAAGCTTACGATATCCTTGATTAGGTAAAACTGATTTGGCGAAGTAAGGAAAATTCTCATTAGTGATTATTGTTTCTCATTAACTGTATATAATGTTGAAATTGTTAGATTTTGGTTTCTCTTTTATCCAAAACAGCGGTTTCCAAACGATTTAAATACAATAAATAATAACGTAAACCGAGCTAGCTTGACAAAATTATATATCATGTTTTTAAAGTATAGATACTGAAATTTGTCCCTAATCTGTTACCAAATCCAAAAATTGATCCTGATCTCAAGATGGTACTTGCTACACATAACGTATCTTTAAATGGTAATGGTGCAGAAAAATACTGTAAGAGCTGTAATTTGTCGCTGAAAAATAGAAAAATTTTACTAACCGCTGGAGCGACAAATTTTTGATTTTTTGGAATTTAAAGCCCGTTTCTTATTTATTTCGCAATATTTAACTCAAATTGTTTTAAAAACACAAGGCGGTAAGCTAAAATAGGTATAAATGCATACCTTTTACTAGATTTTGCTGCTCAGATGACATAAATACAAACATTAGTTAAAAAAAGATTGTTTGTCAGAAAATACAGTTAAAAAAGTTTGCATATTGCAAATAAGTTGATGCAGCACTCTGCATATACATACATATAACAAAGGTATTCTTACGATATTTTGAAGCCGTTCGAATTAGTTATGCATGATGTATTGTATTGATTAATTATTAGATATATCTGTATTATCCTTTATGGTTATTATTGTTTATTAGGTTTAATGCTTGATTATAAAAACTACGTATCATTGAACACTTCTACCTATGTATAGTAGTAATATCTATTAGCTTTTATTATTTATTACAGTTCGAACAACTAAATTTTTCGTAGTGTATAAAAATATAGTGATAGCTAATTTTTGCTATTAATTGGTAAGTTCATGCAACGAAACTTATATATATATATATATGTATCTACATAAGTAAAAAGGATTAGGTCGAAACGTATTCATTAAACTTTGAGCTAAAATTGTTGGTAATATCCAGGGGAAAAATCACAATTTTATTATTCAATACATCTAAGTTTTGACCGAAAAGGGAAATGTGGTATGCCATATTAATTCTAGAAATAATCTGAGGTAAAGGTCGAGATGATGGCCCCCACCCCCGAAGGGGGGCATCGAAAGAAGAGGTCTCCCCCACCACTGTACCATAAAAAGTTCGTGGTGGTCTCACATCTATAAAAAGTTATGGGGGTTCAAAGTTAATAAATATGCCAATTTTTATATATTTCTAGGCATGTAAATATTTATATAGTGATTATTACACAATATTCAAAGGTAAAACTAATGAAAAATACATAAAAATATTGAGAAAGTTATATAAAACATTATTTAAATATCCTTATCAATAGGTTACGTCAGGTTAGGTTAGATTATAGGGTTTTGTTCGAGTGACCACCCTCTTTCGATCCCCCACTTCCACCGCTTGAAAATAATTGTTTTATTGAATTTTATTTGAATAATAGTGTATGAAAATTGTCAAAATAATCAACTTTCAACCTCCATAACTTTTTATGGGGGTGAGACCGCCACGAACTTTTTATGGTACAGTGGTGGGGGAAACCTCCTTTTTCGACCCCCCAACCCCGAAGGGGGTGAGGGCCATCATCTAGACCTTTACCTAATCTGATAATCATTTGCTTAAAAAATCACTTTTTCAAATCTAAATTTTCTGCCGTCTCGTATTCGTCGGATTTCACTTCGTTAGGATATTTTCCGTATACAGTGGATTTCGGGTATAACGACAACGAAGGGACCATTGTAATTTCGTCGTTACATCCAGAAGTCGTTACAGGCAAGGTTAAATGAGATACAGACACGCTGTTTTTCAATTTTGAAACAATTTTCGCCTTTTTTAACAGTAATTGTACATCTGTACACTTATTCAAAAGTTTACTAAACTCAATTGCTACTCAGAAACAACGGTAAAGGTCACCACATTTGTTGACTATCTGTGTGAATGTAAACAAAAGATAAGAAAGCTCTTTGTCTTTAGGGGCCGGCTCCGGTCGCTATATCTGCATGGGATTACTAGGGATTTGTTACAAATGATTCATTAAAAACAGTCGTTACACCCGCACTTGGCGTTACATCCGAAGTCGCTATAGCCAAATGAACTTTGTACTAAAGTGTGCTTTAAATTCAAGGGACTTACATATAACGTCGCTATAGCACAATGGTCGCTATAACCAAGGTCGTAATAAATGAAATCCACAGTATATGTAAAATTTACAGGGAAGAAAAATTTAATTGTTGGAAAGACTTTGCATATTACAAAAAAGTTAACTGTAAAAATTATGAACCCTGCAAAATTTTGAAATATGTATAAGTACAGTAGTCGACATTCAATCCAGTAACTATTAATCTAAATACGTTTTTTCTGAACTTAACAGTAAAAACCCTGTGTAGTCATTAAGTATGTGTTTGGCTTTCGCAAAAAGAACAAAATTTCGTGTTTATATTTAACTAAGTAACTAGTCCTTTAAACTATTATTTTTAAAAAGTAGAAATTGCAATGCTTTTTGAAATTTTTCTGATCAACATGAAACTTTTATGACATTCATTTTACCTTTTGTTTTAATTTAAATAAGTAATTAAGAATAAACCTTATGCATAAATCAATGGTTATCAACTAATTAAGTGCATTTTTAATGTATATTTTGATTATTCTGGGTTTTTTAAAATCAATTTATGAATTTTAATTTTAATATATGTAGATATCAACAAGTGTGCAAATTTACTGTATAAAGAGGAAATGGTAGCTCACAATTCTTAATTTACAGATTTTAGATCTACGGTTTAAAAAAAATTAAAGTTTTATTGCACCTTCTTCGTAATTGAGAACCTTTGGTTTATGTACTTACGTATATATGTTACAGACAATATCATTAGCTAGCGATTATACATAATGGCTAGACATTATGTATATTGACTGAATTGTGTAGATAATTTAATAAATTAATTACTTTCCTAGATATTATTAATAATATAATAGTTATTGGAGTTGATTAATGTATCACTCAAACGTAGGCATAAAGAATATCGTTGAATGTTGAATGAAGTCAAAAAAGGAGAACATTACCTAGCAAAAACGGCAGAAATGAAAGAAAACCGTACTGCAACTAGAACTGACTTATAAGTCCGCAATTATGGTTATGACTGCAGGAAGTTTTCGTTCCCATTTTTTACTGGTTTTTCTAGGTACCTAATGATCTCCTGTTTTAACTTCATTCGACTTTCGACCATATTCGTGACTCCTTCTTAAATTTGCCTGCTCCTGTAATACAAGATAAATTAAAATTTATTGTAGCAACAAGTTAGAACTATTCAGTTTGTTAATAAATTAATGGAATATTTATCTGAATAGTTCTGACTGTAGTTTAAAATTATTAGGGAAAAATGGAAATCAATAAAATTTATAGTTTTTTATTACTTTGTTTAAGCTTTGCAAAATATTTTGTTAATTATCTTACTAAATTATTTGACTAATTCTTCCCCAATAATAGTTTGTCTGAGTTAGGTAGATGTAGATATGTAGTACGTTATAAATAATATCTGGGACATTTGACTTTGGCTGTAACGTATATATTATACATAAAATATGCTGTTTTGGAATAATTATTATTTTTTGAGTAGAAAGATTTAAAATAAGTTTATTGTTCGTACCTGTCGATATTACTTATCAAATTAAAGCGTAATCTAGAAAATAACTTCCGTGTTTAGGGTATTTTCTGTTATCTTTATAAATCCCTTTCGAAGTGAAATATTAGATGTATGCGAGATATAATATCTTATCAATTAGTATAAAACGCTAATTTTACACTAGCCAAGGTTAAGGGATAGTTTTTGCTGAGAATGACGAAATGATAAATTTCATTCAAGACGAGTAGTTATACAGTATATACATTGTGCTTTTCAGGTATTTGAACAATAATAATAATAATAATAAATTTCTATTATTATTATAATAATAATAATAATATAACATCGCGGTGAGTGTCGTCACGCCAGGTCAGATGGTCCACACCTGAACCTTTTCGGCTACTATACACCAGCTAGCGTGATCGTAATATGATGAAATAATGTGCAAATTTTGTACATGTCTTTCAATAAGTTGGTCCAGTTCTCCCTCCTTGAAAACGTGATAGTACCTGTGGAATGTTATAGCGCCACCGATGTTGTCCGATGGTAGCGATTCCTGGGACGTGTTGCTCATCGATTGGTCTTTGCTGATGTTCTTCTTCTCGTGGACCTGTTCGATTTTGTCGCTGGAAAAGAACTGTTTGTCGCAGGAGTCGCTGTTGCTGTTACTATTTTTGTTATACGTTTTCCAATCGTGACACGAGACCAAGGAGAGAGTCGAACCTTCGTCACTATACCTGCTAGTTGATGAGTTCGTCTCCTTGCTACCACGATCGGAACTGTCCCCGGATTCACCCAGTTCGAAATGAACTGATGTGGTCACACTAGATGTGATCGAGTTGCTGCTACTTTCCTTTTCCGATTCGTACGATTCGATCGAAGCACCTTTCTTCAGATAATTTTTGGTCAACGTTTTGGTATTCGCGCCGTCAGTTTCATCGACCACTTTGTCTGTGTTTTTGACCGGATCTTCCGATACATTTTCGCTTTTTGATTGTTTCGTAGAAACAATCGGATTCTTTACACTATTTCGAATAATATCAGCGTTCACGTTTGTTTTAGGTACATCTACGTTTTCGCCGTGATCAGTGTCACCATTGTCGCACGAGCACTTTCCGAATTTACACTTGACGCACTGACTGCTATACAAACTGTCACTCGCAGTTAATTTTGCTAAATATTCGTTTTGCTTCTGAATTTCCGCACTCAATTTCGACAGATCGTCCAATTCCTCGCTTAATCTATTTATGTACGGATCGTGAAGGTTCTCGTTAGAAGGGAATCCTAAAAGTAGTTGTTTCTCATCGGAAATGTGCTGGTATTGATGGATTTCTTGAAGAAGTTTTTCGCTGAGCTTGTCTGCGAAATCTGTTAAATGTCTTCTGCAATCCTCCGCCCAAATGGGGTCCAATTTTCCTGCGGATCGATCTTCGATTTGTTGAACAGTACGTCTCATTTCGAAATTACCTTGTATGACCGAAAGAATATCGCCCGATCGAATTTGCCTTCTTCTGGATCGAGGACTCGATTTTATCACTTTATTAACTGCATTGTCCAACGAATTTGCAACGTTTGCTGCTGCTTCTATTAAGCCCATCGATGAAGCTGTGTCGGTTGTTTTAGCATTATCTTTTGTTTCTTTAGGTTTTATTACAGGTTTATTTATTATTTTCGTTGGAGAAAAAGGAAATCTCGTTCCTACTGTTGGCGATTTATTTTTGTTCTCAACCACACTCTCTATAGAGTCTGGAGAAGAGACAGCACTGGAATCGCTATCTTTATCATCGGTTTCAGGATTAAAGAGTTCTAATGATAGCAGTTTCGGAAGAGGTCTAGCAAGGCTGCGAAAGTTTCCATTGGTAACAGAAGAATGTCTGACTATGGGATAGTTTGATCTCGATGAGCGTACACCAAATCCAGGCTTTTGTTTCAATAGCTCGCGTATGCTTTTGAGTCTTTCATCGCGATTGTTGCTCGGCACTTGGATCTGATTATTAGTCGGGGGTTTTTCCGGGCTTGTTTTGGTATTTAAACTTGTCTTTTTGAATTTAGGTATTGGAGGCACAGAGTATTTTTGTGAGAGTGGTGTCTTTTTTGAAGCTACGACGATTTCTTTAGTTTCCTTCGTTTGAATATCGGCCTTCAGTTGGTCCCTAGAGAGTAGATTTGTCGTAGTGCCGTTCGAACTATCGGAATCTGATTTACTCGAACCGAATCCAGATTTGGGAGAGCTTAACTGTTTAGTTAATGGATACACGGTTAAGGGCATCTGTTTAATTCTAGGACTTGTGGGGCAAGAAGATTGCTTGATGCGTGGTGAGTTTGGGACGGATGTATTAAGGCGAGGCGAAACAGGGCCCGGGGAGAGTGGAGTTGGGGAAGTGGGATCTGTTTTTGGAATGAATATCACCGAAGCGAAACTGTCTTCTGAGTCGACGCTAGTGTCACTCTGTAAGCTGCTGTCTTTGGAGGAATCCGAATTGTCTTCTTTGGAATGTCTGCGTTCACTCGTCGTAGTGACTGAGGAGTCTTTCTTATCATCGATATTATTCGATGTGGTTAAAGTAGGTGTGGTTACGGTTTCATTTTCTGGTATTGTAGGAGACACCAGTTCAGTGCTCTTCCAATTCTGAAAGATTTTTACAAACCCGTTTTTGAAAGAAGAACTAGTCACTTTTTCTATGCCTGTGGAAGTCTTGAATTTGTTTGTGAAGCCAGTTTTGATAAGTTGTAGTCGTTTCGAAGTCGAAACCGAGAAGAGGGAATCTTTTAGCGAATCCAATTTTCTGTGTCTTTGGAATATCAGTTCTTCATTTAACGATGTCTGTTTTTGAATGTTGCGTTTTACGTTCTCCTTTTCTTTGATTCGTTCAGCTGACATGATTTCTTCGTTGAGTGATCGTTGTTTAAATACACCTCGGCAATGGCTGTTGTAGTGAAGTATTTTGAAATCTGGCATGTTCCTGACCATATTTTTCATGTCTGTCGGCTCGTCTAGGGCTTCTTCGGCGTCCTCGTCGCAGATTGATTTCTTCTGTTTCACTAGCCTTGGCTTCATTAACGAAACCTTCGATTGACTCTTATTCTCTTCTTTCGAATCGCGACACGCACTTTCTTCTTGTTGCAGAGTCTGTGAACCACTAGGCACAATTGATTTGGATCGCACAATGTTATTATTCTCTACCGTTTTCATGTCCGTCAGGCTTCGAGACTTGAAGTTCGCCGATAGTTCACTGATGAGTTGCGATGATGGAAATGTTTGACGTCTAGCTGTTATTATGTCTTCATCGTCAATTCGACGAAGTTCGATGGGCAGGTTTTGCACGTCTTCACAGTCGCAACAGTCGCATTTTGTAGCGTCGTATCGTGATGGTGATGGTTCCTTGGTGCATGCCGTCCAACTATCCAAAAACCATGGTCTCTGCACTGAACGTCTAGCACCTGCTAATTTTTGAATTGCTCGACGAACAAAACTGTAGCAGGTCTCATTTGGGGATGAAAGGCTTGAGCTGCTAGGCGATGAACTTCGACCAGGATCTATGGAACGACCCTTGTGTCTGCTTTTGCTGCGCTTTTTGTTCAGAATTAATTTTGCTCTGGAAGAAAAGGAAATAACCAATTGAAATAGAAATATGAATAATTTTTGTTATTCACCTCTCGGATTTATTGGAATCACTATCGCTCTGGGTGTAGGCGTGGTATGGTGGTAGAAAGTCATCCTCTGATGTATTGGTAGTAGAAGTGAGTTCTAGTGATGGTGTGCTAAGGTGCTGGGGTCGGTGCCACGGGACTAGAACGTCTTGCGATTCGAACTTTCGATGACTCTGTTCCATGGCCCAAACGGATATGATGATCCGGCCACCAATCCGCATTACTCGGGCCAGTTCCCTGAGTGCTCTGATACGTCGTTCGGTCGTGGTGAAATGGTGAACAACCGCGATAGACAGTACGGCATCTAGACTTTCATCTCGGAACGGTAATGCCAAGTTGTCCAAAATCATCACCTGCAAAAAGAGTAATAAAATTGCATCGTTGAAAACAAAAAAGTTGCCGTTAAAGCTGCTATTTACTATTGAATAATCACTGCATAGTATAAAACAAAGTCGCTTTCCCGCTGTCTGTCCCTATGTATGCTTAAATCTTTAAAACTACGCAAAGGATTTTGATGCGGTTTTTTTTAAAAGATAGATATAGTAGGGAAACACTGATAATTTTAGAGGTTTCTAATGTGATGTAGTAAATAAACACATTTTTTGCGCTTACATTGCAAACGCTGGCTGAACCCTACGAGATAGATCAAAATAATGTACTACAATATTGTACATCTTAAAAGGGTCTACAAAAAAGTCCGGGATGGTATATGTCTATCTCTTAGGGATAACCCACAATAACCATTTTTATCCTTTACTTTTTATGAGAAATAATGACTTATTTACGAAGCGATTGTAGGCAATACAGCATTAATTCTTATCCAATTAAGTACCTTAAATACATTGTGCATTTAATATAGATCAATATGGCCCTTTACAGCATGTAATTTAAATGAATATTTTCGAAGATATTACAGATTTAAAATGCAGGGACATAGCGGTTGCGGCGGTACCGGCCGGGAGGCCGGTTTGTATTGTCTAATGACAAAAAAACTGTGAATGTTGTATATAAAGACATTCTGTAGTATATTTAGTATGTTCAGGGGGTATCTTTTGAAGATTTCCCCTTTTCGATAATAATCTAAACAAAACAAAAATATATTTAATATCAGCATTGCACCCGTGCGAAGCTGGGGCGGGTCACTAGTACTTCATAAACAAATGTGGTAGTTAATGAAAAGTAATTTCATTACCTATTACAAAAATACTTTACTCTTTACAAAAGTAATGCTTGATGGAAAACATTTCCATTGCTCATTACAAAAGTAGTGAATAATGAAGTGATAATGGGTTACGAAAATTATTCTGTATTCGTAAGTGTGATTAATAATAATAAAATAATTGTACATTATCATGAACAGAGGACTCTATGGAAGTCAGTAAGAAATAGGCGAGATAGGTTGATAGGACACTTTTTCAGGCATGAAGGTCTAATCAGAGACATATTAGAGGCAGAAACAGGAGTGAAGAGGAGTAGAGGTAAACCTAGATAAGATTACTGTTCACATATAGTTAAGGATGTAGATTTTTCTAGTCTTAGGAAAATGCGAAGATTAGCTCAGTATAGGAAAAAGTGGAGGTGCGTGTCGTCCAACTAGATGAGATTATCATGTTTATACTTTTAATAGTGACTGAAATAATAGGATATAGGAGAAATAATGGCAAAACACGTGGGTGCAATTTGATGTTTTTTTAATGGTTCATGCATATATTTTGTATCTACATGCAAATCAAAGGTGGAGGTGTTTCGAAAGGAATACTCACAATAATATGTTCAATACAGAGAAAAAATTGAAGGTTTATATAGTTAATGTTAAATGTCAAAGTAGCTTTTTTGTGAAAGAGATACTGATACGAATTTAAATATTAATTTAAAGAGCATCTCAGTTTTTTCATTCTTTTTAGAAACTTGAGATAAACACTCGAGTTATTGTTTTACGTCATTCTGAAATACTTTTAGCTCCATAATCGATCTTCTTCAAGCATAAAAATGAGTCAAGTTGAAAGGCAAACAACATTGTGTCAAAGCTTTTTCAGTCTTGTATTTATAAAGCAGTTTCATTCATTTTATTTTTATTTTGTATAATCATAAGAACATGCCAAAAATCAGTTTTGAGCATTACATACAAATATAAGTAGATAATTTTGAACAAACTGATAGATTTCCGGATTTTAATCGTCCCTTATTCGTGGAGATCCTACATTGATAACGTGAAGTTCCGGAAGATGTCCCTTGTGATAGGACACGAAACTTTGAACACTTTTATCTCGCTTTGAGCTGTCGTGGGGATATCTTCAATAAAACACGGTTAGAATCTGGAAATCTAGTTTCTTCAGCTAACAGTCAATTCATATTATACGTTCCAGCGTAGTTGCTATATTTTTAACGTTTTACATGGTCGGTTATACATTTTCCTCACCGGTATATGTATCTGTGTATGTTGAAACATTTATGTTTGATGCGGCTGTTTTATTTTTCCACGTATTGTGTACTTTTTCATGTTACCTCCCGAGACTTTCGTGAGGTATCGGCAATAAGCCAAGAGATACACGATTTTCATGCAAAAGATGCAGGTCTTTTATGAATGTTTAACGGAGCAAGCGGGGCACTAGCCGAGGCAAGAAATCAAGAGTTCTTTATGGCAGAAAATGATCTATTCAGACAACATCTCGGCTATATTAAAAATGCCCGGAGCATTCGCCATCGGGCGATGAATTGGCGAAGTCGATAAAGCCAGAGATTTCTCTGTTACCTCATTCCACTGTCTGCAGCAAACAGACATAAGACTGCGGAAGATGCCATTTTCAGCTCATCAGTCACGGATACATAGACCTCATACTACACAAATCTCTTGTAATCTTAATTGCTTTTGAACGGAGAGCACGTTCAATCAAGCGCTTCGTTTAATATCGATTTTCAACCAAGACCAGATAAAAATACACATTACGTATGAAGATGGTAAGGAATTAAATTTTACCTTCTATATTGGTAACAAAAATAAAAAAAAATCTATTAATATAATAGCTACTGTTAAAAGTATCAAAGCGGAAGTTCTCGGATAAAGGAAATTGGAATAAAAACGGATTAAGTGGATGTTTATTGAACTAGATATAAAAAATTTTAGTTAAATTTAAAAATAATGATTTTGTACCACAGAAGCTTCTTGGACATCGCGATTTTGTTTTTCTCTTTATGATCACTATAAGTCGAGCTGGAGCTGCAACGTAGAGAAATAAATATTAGGAAGAGAGTCAGACAGGGATGCACACTGTCACCGCTAGTTTTTAATCTATACATCGAAGACGCAATCAACATCATTAAAGACAGTACAACTGTAAGGATAGATATACAGGGGCAAAAGATTTACATTTGCAAATGATATAGCATCTATACTTCGTTTACTTTCTGTAGCGATGTGACCTTCAGTTTGACCGGCGCAAGGTAGAAAAGAACAGCACTAGGCCAGAAAAGGAAGGAGACAACTCTCGGCCAAACTATTAACCGGTGAGGAGCGTATAATCCGTACAGTACAGCACGGAAAATTGACCATTTTATCCACTACAATTGCATTGCTCAAATGTGCTGTTATTGGTAACATTTACTACTGAAAACATCAACGAGATGTTTATTTATATTTGAGGACATATTAAGGGCTTCAACGCTTGTTTTCGACTCGCACCACTATTCATGATTGAACAAAACTTTTGGCAGGTACTGTATGAAAAAGTATGTTTAATGAACGAGTCAAGAGTATAATGAGCTTTTTTCTCCCTGCCTACGACATTGCCAGCGCGCATCCATGACATTGGAAGGGGCACAGCGCTACAGAAAGTAAATGCAGTATAGGAAGGTGAAGTTAGAGATAGCTTTTAATAAAATGGAAGCGGTATTGACAACAGTATTGTATGAAAATAAATAAAAGTAAAACAAAAATACTGGTATGGTAGGGAAGAAAAAGTAGAGAAAGAGCCAATAGAAAGATAGGAGACGAAAAATTAGAAGAAGTGTCTGATTTTAGGTATCTAGGAAGTCAGATAAGTAAGGACGGAAGGAGTAGTAGGGATATAAAGTAGCAGATAGCGCTAGGTTGAGTTGTGTTTTCAGTAAAAAGAAGTCATTTCTATGTTCGCAAACGGTTAATTTAGAAATTCTAAAAAAATTGTTAATGTTGTATGTTTTGTGCGCGACGCTGTACGAGTGCGGCGGAAAAGAAAAGGTTAGAAGCATTCAAAATGTGGTGTTACAGGCGAATGATGAGAATACTGTGGATAGAGAAGGTTAGAAATTAAGAGGTATTACAAAGATTAGGAGAACAGAGGACTCTATGGAAGTCAACAAGACTCTCAGGCATGAAGGTCTAGTTTTAAGGAAATGTGAAGATTGGCTCAGCATAGGAAGAAGTGGAGGTGCGTGTCCAACCAGTCTTAGGACTGACAACCGTATGATGATGATGATAGTTTTTATGTTTCGGTCGGATCCTAAAAAAAGTGGCGGATGTGCCGGGTACCCGACCCATTTTTATTTTTCAAGCGAATATAGCCAATGACAACTAATGTTTGCGACTAATAAATTACCTAATAAAAGGGCTAAGCGATAAATAACTGTTGCGGGGTTAAGTTAGGAAAGTAATGCGAATTATAACTGAATACTTATTGCAAACATTAGCAATAAAAAAAAAAACAGACGCTAAATATTAAAAAGTCTCACCATTTTTAAAAACGTGAAGCTTTTTAATTTTTCACCTGATTTGTTATTAATTACTGCGGAAAAAGTTAGTTTTGCACAAAAAAGTAAATAATTAATTGTATGAGACGTATGTAAAACTTATTTAATGATGTTGTTAGTTTAACTGTTTCTTGAAGTTTCAATTTTAATAGCTAAAAGTTTAAAACAACGATTTTCAGACATTTGTATTTGTTTCTAATTAGTGTTGGAAATAGTTTTGAAAACTAAGTTACTACAGTTATAAGTTTTTTACAGTGTCCAATTAATGGTACAATTGTTTTAGATTAAATTTTAACTCTGAACATCAAATGAAATGAATGAAAAATGATACCAACAAGCACAATTATTGAAAAGAGAAATAAAATACTTTTTCGAGTGAAAAGTAATAATGAAATAGAAAATGCATTTGATCAAATGAAAGCTGTGTTGCACATGGCTTTCATATTAGTTCGAGAATTAAGGGATGTTAAATATTGAAGAACTACAATTATAATTATTTATTTATTAAATTATCTCTCGAATGAACAAAGTAACAGATAACTATTTCGTTTTTTTTTTTAAAGTTTATTTTTCTGTATCAAATTTAAACGAATAACGTTCCGCGTTTCCTCTCCTTTAAACGAAGATCGATATAAAAAGCGGATGTTAATTCAACGAGTTTCCTCTCTAAGGGCAATTAGGATTTTGAGATATTTTTGCATAAGGTCTTTACATTGAAGAGTATCGAACTGAAAACGGCATCTTCTTAAAAAACCACTTTATAAAAGGCTCTTGCCAATTATCTGTATATATATAGTACCCAACAATCCGTCTTAGGACATAAGCCTTTCTGAAAACATTTTATTTTAAATTTTGCATGACGAAAGTATAAAAAATATATGTATAAACTTCCATATGTACTATCTATAACATTTACAGTAAAAGTTCCCTATTGACGGTTTCCTTATTCGCGTTTTCATTATTCGCGGGTGAAAAAATTGCAACCCAATTCCTGTATTCGCAGTTAAAAATTTCATTATTTGCGGTTGCAGTCGGTAAACAGAAATGGATTCGGTGTCATTTATTAAGGGGATTAACCGCAATAGACCGCCCGTGCCTAGTGTGAATTTTTCCGAAAACATGGGTTCCTATTCTAAACATCGTGATTTTTTGTATGGTAACAGACAAAGGTTCACACTAACTCGGTACGTTTTTGGTTTTCAATAATACGGTCATTAAAAGCTTTTACAAGTGCTTAAAGTTGATGCTTCTTGTAGGACACGTATTTTCAATAGAAATTAAAAAATGGCCTTCGACAAGCTTCAGAACAAAGCTTTATCTATCTTACTACAAAATTTCATACCTCTATTCTAAACATTAAACTCTTGATATCTAGAACCGATAATTTGAATTCCCTTAAAGTATCGGCATCTTTTGAGTATGTACAGTTGGTACGTGCCGAAGCGGCTTTTATAAAAAATCTAACTGAGTAGAAAAAGATTCGGTGTTATTTTTCAACGTATCGGCATCTTTTGAGTACTGTTGGCTCGTGACGAGGCGACTTTTATAAAAGATGTAACCGAGTGGACTAATTTCAAAATTCAAAACAAGAAAAAATCACTAAATTTTTTAAACTCTTGCCTAAAGCTGATTATAACGATTAATTTTAATTGTGAATTTATCAATAGATTGATTTCATTTTGATACATAATGGTTTTATTTGGGAACCTTAGAACGTATCCCCTATGATTCCATGCTAATTATCATTCCATATCCATTTACTACCAAGGAGTGTGGGATATTTTCCTAAAATTTTTGCGCGAAAAAAGTTTGAGTTCTTTTAGTTTTTAATTTATCTGTGACTTGAAGTTCACTTTACTGTCTGTGAAAAATATGGTTTTGAAATTGTAATTTTGTTTTACAATATTTTTTCTTACGAAGAAGGTATCTTAAATTTCATCTGCAGTACTAGCTATAAATGATTTTTATTTACAACTATTAAAACTAAAGGTGAATTGCCCTGATAGAAACAGAAATTGGGGTCCGGATAGTGCTCATGACTATCACACTTGCATAAAAGCCGGGCCTGATTTGACCAAGAATGTAATGCTATTTAGCACGGAGTTCTATTAAAAACTTATAGCGAAATCAAAGTCCTAAGTGGGTTAGATGCCTAATTCGGTTCATTATTGAATCCAGGACGGGTATTAGTGAGATTCCTGATTGGGAATTGAGTCAGTCCCCAGTGGATTTTAGAAAAGTATTTAATTAGATTAGAATTAGATCAGGTTTACGCTATCAGGTAACTTAACATGGTTTATTGACCCGATTGGGAGTTAGTCATGAACCGGACATACGAGGTCTACTCAAAAAGTATCGCAAATTTTGTGTTTTTTCAAAAATTATTTATTTGTTCACGAATATGTTTTTTTGTCCCCTTTAAAGTAATCCCCACTAGACATTATACACTTGTTGTTCAACTCCTTCTTCTATGCCGTCGTTATCTCCTCAATCGTAGGGTAGCGTCGTCCTTTCATGGGCCTCTTCAGTTTTGGGAACAAGAAAAAGTCACAGGAGGCCAGATCTGGGGAATACGGTGGCTGCGCCATTAGTGTGTTGTCTTTGGTGAAAAATACGCGCACAAGCAACGATGTGTGAGCATTTGTTCTTCCACAAAATCGGGCGTTTCTGCCGGATTGTTTCGCGTAAATTTTACATAACTTGTAGGAAATATTCTTTATTGACCGTTCTACCCTGTGGCAAGAACTTATGATACATCACACCTCTACAATCGAAGAAAATTGTAAGCAAAATCTTCACATTCGACTTAACTTGGCGCTTTTTTCGGTCTTGACTAGTGGGGCAGCTTCCATTAGGATGATTGAGCTTTGGTTTCCACGTCATATTCATAAACCCTTGATTCATCATCGGCGTATGACTCTCTGGAGCATATTTGGGTCGTCGCGGACAGAGTTCAAGTACTCCTTAGCAATGTTAATGTGATACTGTTTTTGGTTGAAATTAAGCAATTTTGGTACGAATTTCGCGGCGTCGTTGTGTTAAAACATTTGTTACATATTCAAAATGAAAATAGATTTTCTCGAAAATGGTGCATTTCCTGCCCATAAATGATAAAGGTTAAATCTAAATCATTACAAATTAGTGACAGTTTCCTCCCTTGAGGAATACGAGTAATTTCCAGAGACGCTATATATACTATGTAGATTATTTTTGGATGGAATACAATTGACATACCTCGTTGTCTTTATCTCGCGCTATATCACCCAAACGTCTTGATCTCTCTCCACCCATGTTGAATATAGAACTGTTCAAGCTTAAATATTTTCCGGAACCACAACCTGTGAAAATAGAAAAAAAAATTGTTAGTTTATTTTTCAACGGATGTATCATAATTAAAGAATTATCGTCCAGTACTTGTGTGATCTAACTTCTTAGTTATTGGTGCATATGTGTAATAATAATAGGTTTCCGCAGCAGTCTTAGGGTACTTTACTTATAAAGGTTGAGTGGACCCCTTACAATGTCACTCACGTATTCGTTGGTTGGTTGTTTTTCTTTGAAACCAGCAAATGCAGAAATGTTCAAATTGGAAAAGTTACAATAGATTTGGATTTTTGAAAGATGGACGCTATCTTGTATGAACGTTTTTTTTTTTCATGTGAAGAGATTCATAGGTCATAGATCTCTTTGAGGGAGGAAAAGGAGGAGGAATGTTCCCTATTTCCTCACCCCTGAAACCGCCACTGTATAATTATTGGAAAACAAAGGGTTTAGAAGTTGATGCTTGAGTATTTCTATTCTATCTGTGTGTATGGTAGCGTAGAGTCCCGACGCTATGGTGCGACGGATGTTTTCTTCTTCTGACCAGCAAAGAACGTGCTAGGAATAAATCAAGCTAATAAATAATACATTCCCACGGGACTCGTACGTGGGTAGTCATCAATTACAACGATAGCACATTAAGTTTCGTTTCGAACGAGAAAAACTTGTCCTGACGAACATGCATGCTTTTAAACAAGCATGCAGAATTGTAAAAGTGCTCGTTAATTAGAATATACACACGGCTTGAAGAAAGGAGAAATTTCTAAACCTTGTTTGAGCAAAAAAGAACAGAAAAGAAGAAAAACAGATAAAAGATGTTTCTATTGTAAAGTTAGTTTCATGGTTTTATGAGTCGTAACCCGGACAAAGGACGGTACCTTTGTTGGTGGTGAACTTGAAAACATTCCCTCGTAACTTATCCTAACCTGACCTAAACTGAATTCTTAGTGAGTAGCACTTAACCCGTAATATTTTTCAATAATTTTATAATGTACTAGAATAACTCATCGTCATGTCTCTAGCAGTAAAAACATAGAGCTTTAGCAGTAAAAATGTAGAGCTTTTGCAGCAAAAACATAGCTTTAATATAAAGTTACAGTAACTTTCATCATCATAAGGTCGTCAGTCTTAAGACTGGTTGGACACGCACCTGCACTCTTTCCTATCCTGAGCTAATCTTCGTATTTCTTTCTACAATCAAGCTTTGATGTTTTGTTAATGATAAGTTAGGTAATCCTCACCTTCTACAAAAGTTAAATTAAGTCGAAGCATTTTCAACAAAAAAAGAAAACAGAGGGAACCCATTCATCTGTTTAATTTCGCCTAAAGGAGCTTTTGTGACGGATAAATATAATGTCATTGCAGATGGTTTTATTTGTGTTCCAGGTAATAATTTTGATACTGTTTTGCATATTCTTTAGCTTGAATAATTCATTTTAAAACACCATAAAAAGTAATCGGTTGTAAATTCTGTTATCTATAATTATAAACCTTGGTTAGTCAATCATCATCATCAAAACGTCGTCAGTCTTGAGACTGATTGGACACGCACCTGCACTCTTTCCTATCATGAGCTAATCTTCGTATTTCTTTCTGCAATCAAGCTTTGATGTTTTGTTAATGATAAGTTAGGTAATCCTCACCTTCTACAAAAGTTAAATTAAGTTGAAGCATTTTTAACAAGAGGCAACCCATTCATCTGTTTAATTTCCTTTAAAGGAGCTTTCGTGACGGATAAATATATTGTCATTGCAGATGGTTTTATTTGTCTTCCAGGTAATAATTTTAATACTGTTTTGCATATTCTTTAGCTTGAATAATTCATTTTAAAACACCATAAAAAGTAATCGGTGGTAAATTCTGTTATCTACCAAAATTTCTTAGAAATTATATCCCTTGGTTAGTCAATCATCATCATCATAAGGTCGTCAGTCTTAAGACTGGTTGGACACGCACCTCCACTCTATCCTATCCTGAGCTAATCTTCGCATTTCCCTAAAACTAAAACATACCACATCCTTAACGATTTGGGAATAGTAGTCTAATCAAGGTCTGCCTCTCCTCCTTCTCCTATCAGCTCCTGTTTCTGGTTCTAATATGGCTCTAATTAGCTCTTTATGCCTCAGAAGGTTTCCTACTAACCTATCTCGCCTATTTCCATATTTAGCATGATCAATTATAGCAATACTATAAAATTACCTTTAGTACCTGTAATAATATAAGTATATATTATTACAGGTACGATTTGTTTTGTTTATTTCGATCGTATAATAAATAACTCGCCGAAACATTGTGTTCTGAAAAACATGACTTTTAGCGATTTCATGTCTGTCCGAAAATTTTTATTATGTATCAGATACATATGTTTAATTAAACATTTGATATTTTTAATTTACTGGAATATATCTTTTTTTATAAGGTCTCATCAAAATGCCTCTGTTGTGCGCTATGAGAACAATTCGTTTGGAAAACTTGAAAACACTTAAAAGTTTTCATTGCATTTGATGATCACAATTCCTTTTTTTTTGTTGAAGCATTGTCACGTATTAATGACGTAAGAACAAAAGAACGGTCGAAAAGAGAACTGAATAATACACGTACTAAAATTCATAAATAGAAACTTGAAGCCTAAAAATAGGATCTTCTTAGTTTACTCGTGAAAGACGTCACATATCTATAATTTAATCTTCAATCGTCGTAAAGAAAAACGTAGATGTATCCAAAGAAGTCTAATAGGAAACTTTTGAGTGGGATTGCTTATAAAATATTCATTGACTTCTGTGACGTAATATGTTCATGTTATACGTGCAACTACCTATTTGTATCGATTATTGGGATGTAACAAAGAAATAAAAATAAATTTCTGTTACAGTCTCAAATCGATGACTATTGTTGTATTTAAAAGTTTGTTAAATAACAAATGCTATTTGCCGACTGTCGCTTTCCACGATCAGTAAAAAAAATTAAAAATGTGAAGATGGCTTAGTATTTAGGTATGAAGAATAACAGGCTGTAATACAAAGGTAGAAAATGTAAACACTGGGGATGAAGTTAGACAAGAATGTTTAATGCAAGAACTAGACAAAAAATTTGTCAGTAATAACAAGATAAGAAATTCTCGTAGCAAGAACAAGACTTCTTGCCAGGAAGTTAGCAAGAATCAGGAATTCTTTGGTACAAACATTGTAGGTATGAAGTGCAACAGCCTGTAATAGAATTTGAACAACGTAGAAAAAGTAAATACTGGGAAGGATGTTAGACCAGGATGTTTAATGCAAGAACTAGACAAAAAATTTGTCAGGAATAACAAGATAAGAAATTCTCGTAGCAAGAACAAGACTTCTTGCCAGGAAATTAGCAAAAAGCAGCATTCTTGGGTACAAATATTGTAGGTATGAAGTGCAACAGCCTGTAATAGAATTTGAGCAACGTAGAAAAGGTAAATACTGAGAAGGATGTTAGACAAGGATGTCTAATGCAAGATCTAGACAAGAACTTGGTCAGCAATTGCAGGATAAGAAATTCTCGTAGCAAGAACAAGACTTCTTGCCAGGAAGTTAGCAAGAATCAGGAATTCTTGGATACAAACATTGTAGGTATGAAGTGCAACAGACAAAGATGCACAATGCAAGAACAAGTCAAAAAATTTGTGAGCAAGAACAAAACAAGACAAGAATTCCTCGTAGCAAGAAGAAGACTTCTTTCCAGAAAACGAATTTCTCTTAGGAAGAGCATGATTTCTTACCAGGAAATTAGCAAGAAGTACAAGTACGAAAGTTTTGACGTAGACCATCAACTGAAAAGCACGCAGTACTTACTTGACTTAACGTTTGTGTAATGCAAATTACTTTAAAAAGTATAAATTTTAAATCTGTAGTAGGGATTCTAATATTTTAAAGGAACTAAAATAAACTATATGACGTGTGAAGTGTGCAAAAAATTGAGCAATTAAAATTCTTCTTCCACGAATTTAGACAAATTAAACTTGGGGACTCCCCAAGTCAGCAGAAACAAGAAACAGAAAGACTCTGACAAATTGGTAAAGACTTTCACCGACAGTAAGTGAACTGATTCAGTTCACATCCAGCATTGGAAATGGAAGGATTCGAAAGATGCTCGCCTCTCGTGCAATCGAAACGTTAGGAAGCATCAGAAAGACTATAGTGATACAAGAATGCAGTAATCAAGAAATTAATAAGTCAAGAAAACAACTTCCCATCTTTATAAGGAAGACAGACAAGAAGACAAGCAAGACCAGAAATCTTGTTTTGTGCATCATCGAAGTTGCAATTAATATTATTAAAGACAGGACAGTTTTTCGGAAGGATATCTACAAATATTGACTCAAAATAAGAAGGAGTCTCCAACCAGTCTTGGACTGATAATCAACAAAATCAGAATATGGCCTAATACATAAATTTATGTGTGTATACTAATTACAGTTAAAATTACAGTTTACGATTTGGTTGCATGCATTTTCAGCAACTTTGTCACTGTAAAAGAAGTTGAACAATGCTGGTTCATAGAACACAATTATAAAACTCTTACAATTGCGTGCTTATGCTGCAAGCAAAAAACAAACGAAATGAAATGAATCATCGTTATATGAGAGACATTTATTCGTGGGTGTAAAGGTAGTTTAGGGATGGCAAGGTAAAACAAATGAAATAAAACGGGACTAATAACTTAACAATGTATTTACAAAACTGGAAGAATGAAATTAGAAGTGAAATATGGAGAAATAAAACTAGTTTAAGACTTAGCAGATGAAGATTACTTGAATTGAAGTGTAGAAAACTAAATTTGGAAGTGTTAGTGTTTTGGAAATGAAAATGTTAGGAAAATTATTAGGGCAGAGCTAGAAGTATTTAGATGAAAACCATCAATTAGAAGAGAATAAAATCTGTAAATATGAATAAATAAAATACTAAGAAATAGATAGATAGAATATTAACCCTAAACCACCGAAGAACCTATCATTAAAAAGAAATTAAGAAGAGACAATGGTTATTGACATCATGCAGTTAGTAAGTAAAGTTGAAATGTTAGAAGGGATTATAGAAAAGTCCAAGTAATAAAGGTATTTACACAGAGCACAATAGACAGGTACATACACAAAAGATTTGATGTAGAAATATTAGGGCAGATATGTACATAATGATAAAAACAGAACAATATAACACAATTTCAATAGAAAATGTGAAAAGATATCTGTACAACAAGAAAAATAAAAATAGAAATAAGTATATACAGATGTAGGTATTTAAACACGTTGTGGCGAACAGGTATGGGTGGCCACAGTAGACACAAAACTAATAAAAATTCAAACCTTCGTACCTAATAGCTCTCGAGTTTAAATAAGAAATGTTTGTTTTGTAATACATTTAATTGTCATGTACAGTGGATTCCTTCTCAGTCAATATCAATCATTTTACAGTAACTTAGGTTTAGGTGCTCATCAAAATTATTCCGTTTCGAACCTTCATTGGACTTACCAACATCACAGACGAGTGAACCAGGTTCTAGCTCTTCAATAAATTGTTGCACCCTAGGCCAAGGTCCACTGTTTGGTTTTTCTAGAAATTGTTCATATACGTCGTACACGTACGCTTGCTCCAAAGCCACGCTTCGAGCTACCTGGTCATTAGATGGCATGATTAACTTCCTAAACACCTGAAATAAATAAAATAAAAACATTTATATATTCATTTATCCATGGTGTCTGTATTATTAGCAAACTCAAATTTTGCCTTATTTTATGATCTCATTTTATCAACTACTAAAAAGTAGTCATGGTGACAAAGAACACCAAGTTTCTAGACGATATATACTGGATCATTCTAGAACACGGCCAGATTTTATAAATATTTGTTGCGAGATCGAATGTAAAGCGAAGAAGAAAGAGTCAAGAACGAGTGAGAAAGTGTTCATATAGTGGTGAATTAATAACTAATTAAAAGTAGAAGTGTTAAATAACAGGATTCAACGTGTTAGGGCCAAATTTATCCAGGCACGGCTTTATTTAAAAAGACATTTTTGAAATACGCGCTTGTGATGATTTTGACCAACATCGCATCAGCAACATATTCGGGTTCTGTAAGTTGTGGGAATAGTGAAGAAGTAGTACCATATACAGATAGACTAGTCTCTACAACGTAACAAGTTATAAAAGTAAGGTTCACTTGTGGAAGAGAGTTGAAACAACTCCCCATTCTTTGTTTATTTTGATAGTGGTAGTTGCACTTTGAAAATATGTATACAAATTGAATCATATAACTCCTCAAGGAAAAATACCCGTCTTATTGGGCTTTCATCCTCTATCCAAAAATGATTTTGCCTAATTTCTGTTTAGTATTCTTTCTAACAGTACAAATTGGTGTTAGATAAGTCATTTTATTTTATCAGTAATCGTTTGTTCTCTACGTTCAACATGTGTTACACATGGTAGCAATAACCGTCAAATCGTTTTACTACAGTAGACGTGGATATCCATTAATCGCACATAGGTAAATTCTGAATTCTATTTTACGGGAAATGCTCTTCTAGAACGGAAATAAATCACTTTCAATTTAATCGAATGCTCGGTATGTCGGGTAGTTATGCATATGTTTGGGAAACATTTTGGGTTCCTGTTCGCTCGCTCAATCGATTGATTGATTATGTCAACTTGGCCACAGAGGAATCGCCAAAATGGATTCATGGAATTCAGAACACATTGTTACGACGCGACCCGACGTGACGCCGATGTTTTCTAAACGATAATAATTCGTAATTAAATATCTACTCTAATAGCAAAAACGCTTAATAATGATGATAAGAAGAAACAATTGAAGAAGGACATGTAGAAATCGACTAGCATCTATTTGCCTATTAGCTACGTGTAGCATCAAATAAAGATGTATGTTACTTGAGAATGAGATCTTTGTCTGTGCCAAATTTCAAGATCTTAGATTAACGAAAATCTGTATGAAGACAACAAAGAGAGAAGATTGTGTATATGGTAGTAGAATTATCCAAATAGCAGGATTGAATGTCTCGACTGGAGATTAGTTCAGGGAACCCGGATTATGATCTAATTAGTTCCTGATTAGAGTACATTACTCCATTCCTTGATCTGATCACCTGGTCAGGAACTGATTAGCATACAGTATTCTTTCCCTTGATCCAGCTATTTTACCAGTTTCTGATCAATGTACAGTAGTTTATCCGTTGGTCTAGCCCTCTGATCACAGCATGACATTCTTTCTCTTGATCCGTCTATCTGATCAGTTTCTGATCAAAGAACAGTACCATATCCCTTGAGCCAGTCATCTGATCAGTTCGTTATCGGAATGTAATACTACGAATCTTATTACGGTTTCGTTACTATGATTAAAGCAAGATTGTATCTGATGTCCTGAACTGGATCATAATCCAGAATTTAGTTTTTTATTTTATCCATTCTGTATGTAACATAATCGTTCATATTTCTTAACTTAAATTTTTTTCTGCGACAAATCTTATTCATTAAGAATTTTTTAAAAACTTTCTTTAAAATTAATTATAATATAACGAATCGGATCCAGCATGAATCTATGGAACGGATCCGGCACGGATCTTTTAAACGGATCCTGTGCGGATCATATATGGCGTGACGATTTTTAATCATATTCAGCTCAGGAAGCCTAATTTATCCCTGATCAGTCTTCAGGTAATCCTGATCCGGATTGGACCCTATACTGAACTACCTAATTTCCAGACAGGGTGACTATCAATTTGTCTAAGCCGTCAGATGGCTTCAGGCTGGACTTTGTTTGTATGAAATCAAAGTGGCAACCGTAAAATACAAAATGGCGAATTAGTGAATAGATTGAAATGTCGTTCAAAATCAAGTTGTCGTTTCGTAAACAATTTTACAGCCAAACCACGCTAAACGATAAATTTTTTAGAAAGCAGATAGATCCCATAAAATTTCCCCCTCCACTTTCATTCAAAAACCCAAATCGCCACTTATTTAAGGTGTTTAAATATCAATGAAGAGACAGTTACTTAAAATCACATCCTGTCTGTCAGTAGGTAATAATTGTGGTAGATCACAGAAGTTTTATTTCACCCTCTATTTTAAATTTGTATGTTCCATCCATCATCGAATAATCATAGATTATTGCTACGTTGCGGAAACATTGAAATGGAAGTTGTTTACATTCAATTTCATTTCGACTAAAAAGGAAAGTTTGCACAAACATTTATTGAAGAGTGTTGTAAAGTTGTGCCGGCTTCCAATGTATATTTAAAACAAACGTCTATTTGTCTTGGTAGTAACAACGTTAAGAGGCTTTTTCTAGGTCGATATCGGACAAATACGAGACAGTTAGGCTCTTGTTCAGTCTCATCCCCGACGTTCTTCTCGTGAAGGCCGTAACCCAATTGTTTTTATATCGTCGTATGAAGGGCATTGATTTCCCAGACTTCTCATAAATTTATTTTGTTTTTCATGATACTGAACAGTTCTTCTTAACTTTATTTAGACTTTTATAGATAGGGTGGTTTATAAAAAATGGGACAGCTTTTAATCATCAAAATAAAGTGATTATTTACACATGTTTGAAGGCGCTACATTGAAAAAATGTGATTACATCATTTGCAATAAATAATTTAATAACTATTAGAAGTTTAAATTAAAGGGGAAACTGTGGGAAAATCGTCATTGTCTAAATATGCATAAAAAGCAGGGTTTTGTAAAATTTCGTTCGACTTTATTAATAGGTTTAAATGATATTTGTGAATTATCTATAGAATCAGGATAGTACAACCAACCAATGATTAAAACTTTTTGATAAAGAATAGGAGGGTTGCTTAGGTCTGTTTTCGATGCCCAGAACATTTTCGTTTAATCAAGACCTTGTTAAAAAACCTACACTAGCTAAACAGATCCCTTAAAGATCGCATTGAAGAACATAAAAGGGGCTATTAAACAAGACTTCTTCAATTCCATCTGCATGGAACATTTACTGCTACATTTAGGCAGTTTTATTTTCTTTTACATTTAGTATGAAGATTGGCGGTTGTTGTAGAACAAACCAAAATAGCTTGAACTCCAACGCCAAAACACGAGACTGTAGTTGTCTGAAGCACTTTTCGGTAACAAGGTTACCTTCTTCAGGGACAACTACAGTCTCGTGTTTTGGCGTTGTGGTTCGAGCTATTTTGTTTTGTTCTTTTACATTTAGGGAAAAAAAGTATTTTACACTTAGATAGTTAAGAAATAAACAAATTTAATAAATTAGAACTAATATTCAACGATCAGATTGATACTACCAGTTCCTCGCTATTAAACATTTAGATTAAGTTGTAATTCTGTGTTTTAAAATTTTCATATTTCTATGTCTGTGTTGTTAATTTGTAACGATTCAACCCTACCCTTATTTATATGAATAAGCATATAAGCGATTTTACAATTAGTTTGATGTTAAAGATGAGTATTTTTCCATCTGATGAAGCCATACTGTGATTAAATGGTAATAGTAGTCAATTAAAATATTTGCAACCAATATCTGGTTCATAGCTGGTTGTATCTACGTAAATTATGAAAATGTCGCTGAAATTAAAATGCACCCAAGTGGTATGCAACTTCGACAATGGTTACTTTCGTCCGAATTTGAATGGGCCCAGCTGGTAATATTATAAAGTTCTATTTTTAAAGATGTCTTTCTCGACCATTTCTCTTATTTAAAACGTTCAATGAAATCTGCGAGCATTGATGAAAAAAGAGTACGAGAGGAAGCACTTGGCGTAGTTTCAAAAGTTCCATTGTTGGTAACAAACCAAAAAAAGCAAAACTAGCGAAACACTGCCAAGCTTTTTCAGTTGGCAGCCTTGCTGTTTTATTTGTGTTTGCTCGAATAGTTTCGGAAACATTAGACATGACAAGATATATTTAAAAGGATGGATGAAGGGGAAATATCGAATAAAGTATAAAAAAATTCGCTTACAGGGTGTCAGATTCAATTAAAGTAGTCGTGAATAAAAGTTATCGTATGCTTTAAGTGTTTTTGTTAATTTAAAAAAGAATACACAAAATAACGGTTTTACCGCATTTTTAGGAAAAAACTACCCGTTTCTAGATATCCTCATATGTTCATTATATTTAGTCTAGAGGGTTTTATTTTTAATTATTTCATATTAAGAAAGAAAATATAAAAAATAACACAGGTCTGCCATAAAAGTTTTTTGTATAAATTTATCTTAAGCATGTAAATGTTGGTCTATAATTTGCAAATATAAACTTTGTTTTAACGTATCACGTCACATTTTTTTTGTATGTAGATTACTATATGTGTATGTACATATGGCTCTTTGAATCGGCAAATTTATTTGTTTTTTCACAAAATTCATTTTATAGCTTATATTTCTATTTAATACTCTCTGATTGAGCATTATATTGTCTTTTACTTTATTTTAGATAGTTTGAAAGTAACTATAGTCGTTTACACCGCCTGAAAAAGAAATAGTTTATAGTGCGCCATTATTGAGAGAGATATAATATTAACGTGTAATAAAAGATTGTGTTTCATTTATCTTTAACTATGGCTTCTGTAAAAACAATTAAAATCTATTTTTTTGCAGTTGCGGACAATATACAATAGTTAAGCAAAGATTGAATATAACAGATTTTGTAAAAAATGCTTACTTCA